TTTACTAGGAGCTAGGAGTTATAGGGTTGTGTTTACTAGGAGCTAGGAGTTGTAGGGTTGTGTTTACTAGGAGCTAGGAGTTGTAGGGTTGTGTTTACTAGGAGCTAGGAAGTTGTAGGGTTGTGTTTACTAGGAGCTAGGAGTTGTAGGGTTGTGTTTACTAGGAGCTAGGAGTTGTAGGGTTGTGTTTACTAGGAGCTAGGAAGTTGTAGGGTTGTGTTTACTAGGAGCTAGGAGTTGTTGGGTTGTGTTTACTAGGAGCTCGGAAGTTGTAAGGTTTGATGTATAAAGTAATTGGAGCTAAGAATTATAGGGTTTTGTTAAATAGGAGCTAGGAGATATAGGGTTGTGTGTAACAAGGCAACAGAAGCTAGGAGTGATAGGGTTTGGTGTAATAGGAGTTATGGGGTATAGGTTTGTGTGTAATTAGTTAGGAATTATAGGGCTGTTAGTGTAATAGGAGTTTGGGGATAAAGGGTTGTATGTAATAGAGTTTTGAGGTATAGGGTTGTGTGTAATAGGAGTTTGGAGGTAAAGGGTTGTATGTAATAGAGTTTTGAGGTATAGGGTTGTGTGTAATAGGAGTTTGGGGGTAAAGGGTTGTATGTAATAGAGTTTTGAGGTATAGGGTTGTGTGTAATAGGAGTTTGGGGGTAAAGGGTTGTATGTAATAGAGTTTTGAGGTATAGGGTTGTGTGTAATAGGAGTTTGGAGGTATAGGGTTGTATGTAAATTGGAAGCTAGCTAAGAGTAAGTATTGTGTGTGAATTGATATTGATTTGGTTCAATGTTACTTCAGATATATTTCGTTAAATAAGCCATACAAGCAGTAAGCAAGTAATTATTGTATGTTTTCTTCAATATAAAGCTTCTGTTTATTCAACTGAATTATCAACAAAGAAGTCTAGCTGACTATTGAATGGAATGAGGACATTTCAATTTAGCAGAAGAAATGTAATTTGAGGCATAATGATGTGAACAATTGAACAGAGGAATTTAACAACAATCGTTCTGATGACAATATATACCATACTGTCGTGAAGTAAAATAGACATTTTTTTCAACAACATTGTAGATTTAGTTTGTTAGTTTTGAATGATTGCTGAAGTTTAGTTAAATTTCCAAGCATAGGCAATCTATGAAATCATTTATACCTGTCCACCTTGATTGTTATGGAATTGCTTTAAATATACAGTAATACATAGTGTAAACTTACATTACCTATCCATCAGGAGAAAAAACAACATTTTGAAATCAACTTAATATTATAATTGTTTCATGAACCACACACTATCGCTTAAAATGCCTGTAAGTCATGGTCGATGTTTATTCCTATGATACATGTGTCACACTGTAACACTAATCTATATATATAATACCCAGCACAGCCACTTTAAATTATTTAAAGTACAAGAACACATACATGAATTGAACCATTTAGTTATAAAGAAGAGAATAGTGTATTGTTGGAGACGAATGTAATACAACACTGCTGAGCTAACGTACATGTATACGAGACCAAATACTCATGTCACTATATTCCAGCGTGTTATATCATACAATTTCCCTACCCTTCATTGATCCGAAATTGTTAAGCTCAATCCAGAAAACAGTTTGATTTTAAATAATGAATTCATGACTTTGTCCTACCATATGAAAGATTTAAATGATAAGTGACACATTAAAGACAGAGAGTATATTGAACTAGGTAATGAGTCCAGTCCTACCAATCCTTCAATCCCAACGCACAAGAATGCGTGTCTGTGGATATTTTGGATAATTACACAAATAGGTCTTGTGGCATTGTGTACCCTGTATATTTTAGGTTTACTTTTTATTCGTGACTTTTTATCTCCTTGAAGGTAGGATGTACGCAGGCGACAGATTGTCAATAGTTTAACTTACGTAGCTGTATATCTAAACCTTGTATAATGAGGAGATAGATATATATGTAAGTCCATATCTGACAAAAGATTAAATTAGCCTAAAAAAACATAAATGATGTTAATACTTTGAGCATTTAAGCACAAAAACTTTCCTCTCTTCCTGAAAACAATAATGATCTTTACAATTTAATCAGGAAAAAAATTGTTATTCTTGTCATTATCATTTTTATTATTATATACTTTTTTCCAAATGGATCTCATTAAACAGACAGCAGTAAGTTAATATATAATTTCTGTGGTTTATTTCTCAAATTCATATGCCTGGTAATATATGTCTGTGTTAGGATAGAAAAATGGGCCTGTATTGTGTAGATCCAATTATATTCCATACTGGTTTATCAGCGGTCAGTAATATTGACTTAACAGGATATGACTGTCATGATTCCAAGGATTTCACACTCTGTGTTCTCATTAAGGTCTGAGGTAATATTAGTCAGACTTGTTACCACCAGCTGCTGCTCAATATCATATACTCTACGTAACAAGTTGAAGACTGACTGTCCAACTTACAATTCAATGAAATTGTCTCTAGACCAAGCTGAATTTAGATATCACCTCTTGAAATCACAAAAGCAAAATTTATTCTTTCTGAGCTAGCTACAATATAGGTCAGTAGTTTCCTAAATGGTATCTACATAAGTCATATATTCCATACTTCAACGGTTGGACTAATTCTATCAGATGAACATTTAAATCACTTTCTCATAACCATCTGTGTCTTTAAACACATTCTGATTTACTGAACATGCTGGGGATCTATTCCCTTGCAGTGATGGTATTCATGTCTATACTGGGCTGATGACAGGGATTTCACCAATGTCACACAATATTTACCACAGAATACAGCTAGGAAACTGAGATATTTTAAATTATCTATTTTAAGACATGTCAGAACACATCTATACCATACAGTCAATTGACATACACTTTCCATCTATATTGAACAAGGTAAGACACTATTCATCAAAAGAAACAGCTTCTAATGTATCAACTTATCACCTGATGGAAAGATGGTATCACCAGTAAATAACAAAAATAAGACTTACCACCAACAATCCAAACTTTATAAAGACTATGTCTAGTAATTATTATACAATGCAGCATGTACAAATTGTAAATATATCAATAGGACACCACTAAGTCAACCACACACCATTATATCAATGAGACACCATTTTATCAGTGAGACACCATTGTATTAATGAGACACCATTATATCAATGAGACACAATTATATCAATGATACACAATTATGTCAATGAGACACCATTATATCAGTGAGACACCATTATATCAATGAGACACAATTATATCCATGAGAAACCATTATATCAATGATACACAATTATGTCAATGAGACACAATTATATCAAGGATACACAATTATATCAAGGATACACAATTATGTCAATGAGACACAATTATGTCAATGATACACCAATACATCAATGAGACACCATTATATCAGTGAGACACCAATACATCAATGAGACACCAATATATTAATGAGACACCAATACATCATTGAGGTACCTCTATACCTATGGGACACACTAAATCAACCAGACACCATTGTGAGGTACCACTACATAGATGTATCGATGGTGCATCACTAATAAACATATAGATGAGGCATTTATAGAGAAATGGACACCAGTAATTAAATCAATGACCAGTATATTAAGGGATTAAGGCGATCACCCAGTTACTATAAGACCTAAGTCTGTTGGGCAGTTCAGTGGCCATGTAGACTGCATCAGAGGCTGGAGATCAATGAGCTATGTACTGTTAATCAGGTCAGAACCGGTATAGTTAGGTATAACGTGTCCATTGATTGCTGTCCCTGATGGCTTCAGTTTTGTTGATACAGGACCAGGGTCTTATTTTACAAATGTTGATTAAGTATAAGACTTTGATGGTAATATTGATTGTGTTCTTATCAGCTATTGACAGTATATATATGTGATATAACTCTAACAATTTACCTGTGGCTTCACACAATCAATAAACCGTGATATAGCTTACAATTCATACTCAATATTCCACTGGTTGGAAGTAATTTGGGAATTAGAAGGTGAAATGTGTGTTGCTGTTTTTTTTATTATTATTATTATTTAATTTACACAACAATCATCAAGAGTTTTTGTACACTGTACTTTTAGTACGTAGATCATAGTGCATTGTATCATATAATCGACGTGACACTCCTTATAAACAATCCAACAGAGACACTGGTAAACAGGTAAACTTGCTTGTGAATACACAACACAAAAACATGTCTAAACAACAGGTGTATAGATGAAGTGCTGTTGTATAGTGTACTTTACCAACAACATTACAATCAGTACCATATATCTAGACAGTAAAACAGTTTTTAATTTTTATTTACTGCAGTCATGTTTCTACTTGTACTGTAATATTACTGTAGAGTAAGTATAGAATTATAGTGATATCTAAGTTGGCTGTGTAATAATTCAATAAAACCAGCCTTTTTGTCGTAATAATAGCTCCTCTGAGCTAATGTTGACTTTGTTTATCATATACGACACAAAATAATGCTTATTGTATTGTATTGTATTGTAAAGCAATCATCGCACAAAAATTATGGTCTTTTTCAGTCTGTTCATGGTTATTTAGAATTATAACATTAAATACTAGTTACATGTTTATTTACCAAATAAAAATTGTCAACATCTGAAATAATCAATTTCAAAACCAAAAAGAACGTTACAATAATTCTGGCTAAGTTTTGGTAATATTCCTGTTTCACCTGAATAGTTTTTTTCTGTATAAATATCTTGAACAGTACAGAATGAATTATACACTTCAACTAAGTAAACATTCATGTTTGTTATTCAGTCCCATGTACAATGTAACTTTCATAATTGAGGCACATACTGATCATTGGGTACCATTCCACTTCAGTTCAGTTTGAAAGTAAACATGCACATGCATTAATTCTGTGCTGAAAAAAATTACAAACAGCTTGTAAATAATTATCATTTCTAAAAATATTATTCTTTTATAATAAATAGTTGTTCAATTTTGACTTACCATCTACTTTTTTCTTATCATCTTTTTCATCCTCCTCTATATCCTCAACTTTGTTTCCACCACACATTTTGTGTAAATCCGAAAAAAAAATCCACTCAGAAAATAGGTCCTAACTGCGTGTGTCAAACGAAATGTCCCGTACTGAGTGGATAAGTGCTTTCTCTACCTACTCATGGTTAATAACTATACCTTCTACAAACCCTATTGTACTCAGTTCTATATGAAGGTAGATTCATTTAGTCGAGATAGAGGTCTCTCAGGGATATTTCATTCAATTGCACAGAGGAAAACTATTCTTCCTGGTGAGAAAGTCGTTGTATGAAAACTATTATTAAAATTAGCCAAAATAATGTTTTAATGTGTCAATAGATAATTAGGTATATCTCCTTTCCAATAATATTTGCTTTCAATTTCCAAAATTGACCTATTTTCGTGTCTCGGTCACCCCAATGAGGGCCCCAAAGTTTACACTCGATTGTTGTCGTCGTTTCCAATGGGAGGCGGACCTACAAACCACGTGATGAAAGGTGGGATTTTAACACAGGTAAATTGATCGGGTGTGTAAACTGTACGTCACGATTTTATACCGGAGAAATTGAAACGACTTCCTCGGACGATAAATCGAACAGTGAAGATGGGAGAGGAAAATGAAGATAAAAAGTATGGTAAGTACAAACTTGACATAGAAACAACTGAAGTTGTGAATCGTCGTTGGTAATTTGCGATACATGTATACTCTGCGTGCAATGCAGTATGTACACAAGGCATACTCATAGGACCTATATCATCGTGTTTCCAATTTTTTATCGCCCGAGACATGTGTAGTTAATCCGCCTGCTTTGTATTTAACTTATTTACATATGTGATGAATCCATTAAATGTTGATGAAACTGACATGGGGTCAACAGGTGCTCTGAAGACATATACCAAATGAACGGTAAAACTCATTTCAGTTCCGGTAACGTTATACATACATGTCTATTTATAGACGTTACAGTTGTTTGACTATGACAGTTTTAGAAATTTCTATCACGATATTAATATTTACAGTGTGTTACAAAATGACTCTGTGACACTTTACTTCCACTGAACCTGTCCTCTATGATTTCTGTATATTGTCATGATTTCTATGTTTTTGGGAGAATGTTTAACGATACAGGCTGAAAATTTCCTTATGCATCCAATATAAATATTAAGATTGGGTGGTTGTAAGTGGGATGAAGGGGGAGGTCAAGGGTGGGGTTGGGCAGTGTGTACTCATATCACATGAGGTAGTAGATACATTTCCCATTGTTTTAATTTTGTTAATTTCTGTTTTATTAACAAATACAATGTTCATGTACAACTATAAAAGTTTAAATACTGCAGTACATACACATGTGTATAGCTACATGTGTTATCATTTATATTATGTAGTGAGATATGTTATCACACAAAAAGTCTTTTTTTGTCTCAGACTGGAAAATATGTAAATGATATATTTCAGTAATAGGAACAGAATTGGGAACTATATGACACATGTACTCTAATGAAAAGGTTTTCAAAATTGTAGATGATAAGCACCATATCATATTAATTTTATCGATTTCAGGTGAAGCTAAAAAACATGATCCAAAATTTAAAGGACCAATCAAAAATAGGTGAGTGTATACATGTATCAGCAGGGTTGTATCTATGGACATTTGGTTTCCATACTGTAAAACAGTTTTCTTAAATGAAGAAAGAATTTAATGTCTTGGCTAATTATCATGATTAAACACTTTCTGAAAGATGAAAAACTTTCAATGTAATTTTTGAAGAGTTCAATTTCTTGAACTTATTTAATGTACTGTAGGATTTGATATCTAAATTCCTGTGGTATAAAAAATGTGCTCACTATGTGCATTACCTTACAATGATTGTTTATGTCCTTGTCGTAGCAAATAAGGCTGTATTCAGGTACCAAGTCATGAATTAGTTATAACAGGTGGCTACACTACTCAGCAGGTAACTGATAACTGATGTCCCTACATATACAATACAATGAAATATTGGGCTAATATCAGTTGGTCATATTAAAAACCTTCTTAACTCAAAATGCTCCACTCTCATCTTTATGTTGAACGCTGTTCAAGCAAGGGAATATGGATTCTGCCCACTGGCAGAGACCATTAAACCAATGTCAGAAAGAGTGATGCTTGTTACTCTTTGTTTGACATTCAGATTTAGGGTTATCCCAATGTAAGTAAAGGCGGATTGTGTTACATTTACTGTGTACGAGTTACAACACTTCCATGTAATGTTACTATATAAAAGTGCACATTAAGAAAATGCATTTTCAATCATACATGAACTCATCGCAAGTTTTAGTAGCTGTTTCGATGACCAATATCCCCTAACAAGCTAACTTGTAGATTATGACATTCTTGAGCAGAGCTAAGAAACATGGTTGTAAGGCCAAGGTCACCAGGTCAGAGGTAAATGTTAATGGAGAACGACATTAGTTTTTCTTAAACAGTATTATATCAATGGTTGTCTAATGATATCTGAAGCAAAGTTGTGGTTAAAAGTAGTGGTTAAGTCTGTGAATGTCCTTTGATACAAATTATACATATGTTTGGTTGGTGATGTTTCTGTCACCAACAAAGCATAGTAAAATGATAAGAATAAAAACAATGAAAATGACTTATCTGATGATATCACCACACAATCACACTCTCCTGTCTAACATACAAGACTATCTGATGATATCACCACACAATCACACTCTCCTGTCTAACATACAAGACTATGTGATGATATCACCACACAATCACACTCTCCTGTCTAACATACCAACATGAAAATCTTAATAACATTATTGTGTTAGATGGCAGAGTAAACATTTGTAACGACTTAAACAACTAAATGCATGTAGTACTGGGGAGATTATAAAGATTTGAGTTAGATCCTTGTGAAAATAAGTTGTTTTTTGTGTTACAACTAGATACATGTAGTACTGGGGAAGATAAAACAGATTTGAGTTAGATCCTTGTGACGATACGTTGTTTCTGTGTTACAACTAGATACAAACAAGTGATTTGCTAGCACTGAGTGCTGCAGAGTTTGCTTTAGGAAATGACCTTGACCCATATTTAAGGTCACAATGGTCAGATTTATTGAATTGCTCTAAGGCTTGAAATAGGGCCCATACTGTACCCCTATGTTATCATAGTTAGCAGTTTTCTGTGAAAGACATACCAATTGTAGTGAAATCATATTTACTCTAAAAGAATAGCTCACAACATATAGTTACCTGTTTAATGTTCAAAGTAAGTTATGAAATGTGTTTGCAGAAAACATAAAATACACAGTGAAACATTATTATTTTGTTATGTATACATATAACTCAAACCTATGTACTGACCTAACATTAGTGAAACACATTGGATTATAGAAATAAATGATGTCATTATTTTTTTCAGGTCATGCACAGACATAATCTGCTGTATTTTGTTCTTAGTCTGTATCGTGGTAATGGTTGCCTGTTCAGCTATTGGTAAGTTTTGCCTTGGTAACAGGAAGTTTTTCCTGAAATTATAGGACATTTTAATGTTTCTATTTCAGAACTTGTCTAACATTTACCAGTAAACCTAAGTATTAACGTCCTTTGTCAGTATTGTTGTAGATGTCTAAAGGACTGGTACGACTGATCAATGCACACACATCTGACACTTATATATACAATACACAAATTAACTTACATATACATTTTCTGGATTCCATTCTTTGTGAAGTATTTTTAGGTCAGATCACATATCAGTTTTGACTATAGGGAATGTATCTTCAAGGTCATTTAATTTCATTTGTAGCAAGAGGTTCAAGGTCAAATCAAGCTGTATTGCAATCTTTGTTTGCAGGTATATGACCAATATTAAGTCTGTTTAGCATGTCTTGTCAGAATTTTCTACAGATACTTAATATTTTAAGTTGATACATAACTTATTTCATCCATTACAATACAACACAAGAGATTTAGGTATATTAATTGTGTTTTATTCACCTGATAATATGAATTTCTACCAAACAATTGTGGCTTCATCCACACTGTTCATGACTACTAATGTCTATAGGAACTTTCTGTGAAATATTGAGGCTGATTCAGGAAGACTGTTATGATGTGGTTATACAACACTTGGTTGGTGGTGAAACGATATGGCAGGCTATAAAATTACAATATTTATCACTGGAATAAAAACGTTACATTTACTAAGTGAATCAGATTGAGCGATCACAGATTATACAGTAAATATGCAAACATTGCCTCTCCACAGAATCTGGGCGTGGATCCATTTATAATCACAGTTTACATAATGATTCGGCTTCCTGGTACAAAGATTATAGGTCTGCTATTAAGTGAGAGATGTGATATATGGCATGCACAGTCACCCATATATTACTATAGATCAGAACTTGCTGAAGTTGCAGACCTCAGTTTTCATCCCTCAAAGCCAGAATTAAATAAAGGTTATATAGATGCAAAACATGAATATTGATATTCTTTGTTCATATATATATATACATGTATTTCTTCTTTACCAAAGATATGATAAAAAAGTGGGTTTAATTGTAAATATTGATTACTGCTAGGTAAGGATAGCTCAGTAGAATCGGTCAATGACACCAATGTCCCATGGAATATTTAGAGCAAACAGAAAAGTTTTATATGTGATGGTGAACCTCGATCCATGATGAATGTAAATATGAGAGAATTTGAATATGGACTTAGATATTGGTTCCTGATTCAGAAATCCAATGCTCAGACATCCCCAGTAATCTAAATGATGTCTTACTCTCTATTCAACATATGATACAGCATAACAGCGCTATCATGCAGACTCTTTTTAATGGATTTGATTATCAGGTAAAATGTCTTTCAACAACTTTCATTTTTTCTTCCTTGTGTTATAAATAGCTTGTAATGTTAACACACCAGCTGAGGGCAGCCAGTTATTTTATCTATAATGATGTCTCTGTTTGCCTAAGAACAAATCCTGTCCTTTAGTATGTTTGTTCTGTAATGTTAAAGCAAACATTTGAAACACCTAGAATTGGACCTGTGACTTGTCAAACCACTAGTGTCATCTCCTCTAGCAAAATACTTGTTTCTGATGATTTGGTGGGTCGTGCGCTAGTGATGTAATGTAGAACTCTTTCACATACTCAGTATTAATCATATGGCTTCAGGTAATACACAAGATGACTTACTATTGGTCATGGGCAAATGTACAAACATGATGTAATGTCAGGTCTGTATAATGTTAATGGAAATCGAACCTTAGTTCTGGACATGAAAGGTAAATCAGCCTCTGTCACAGAAATTAAAATTAATTGTCACAAAGTTGTCACAAAGTTGTAACTGAGTTGTAACAAAGTTGTCACAAAGTTGTCACAAAGTTGTAACTAAGTTGTAACTAAGTTGTAACAAAGTTGTAACAAAGTTGTAACTAAGTTGTAACAAAGTTGTCACAAAGTTGTCACAAAGTTGTCACAAAGTTGTGACAAAGTTGTAACAAAGTTGTCACAAAGTTGTAACAAAGTTGTCACAAAGTTGTAACTAAGTTGTAACTAAGTTGTAACAAAGTTGTACTTTACGAATGCATCAGGGAATATTGGTTGATGTTTTATTTACTTGTTGTGTAAAACATGCTTGGAAGTCACTTTTATTGACTGAACTGATAATATCTATTGATTCTCAGCCTCATCAACATTCTGACGTTTCCAGGAGTATGTAAACAATGATCACAGCTATATATGTATACCTATATGTTACACGTAAGGTAAAGCATTACATCAATGTATATCCATTGTACTGTATATCCTAATATATTTAGAATATAAAACTGATCTGATCATTTTCCTACATATTCAGATATTAGAGTAAATTTTATAAAATGCTGAAATGTAATATACCAGGACTTAAATAGGTATAATGCAGAATTTATTATTTAATCATTGAAGATGAGATAGAATATAAATAGCTGGTTTATATAATGTGACATTTAAAAACATAGAAATATTGATAGTGAAAACTCTAACACTAATTTGTTCACTGTATCTTGACATATTATGAATAAATTTAGTTGAACTGTGTACCATTACTATCCTCGAAGCTTGGTATATGTGATAAAGTTGAAGTCAGTATTTGACACAATATAAAATGACATTGACATGGGATATATTACACACACCAGATGTCTTATACAATGCCAGAAGTCCAACCCATGAAAACACGGACATGTGCAATACATATGTTTCAACCGTAGAGAATAGCTCAACACCTCAACTGAATAAACATAAATTGTTGATAAATTTTTGATGATGTTTGGTTTTTTCCTGTTGTCCTGTTGTTGTTGTAAACATGACTGATTTAAGAAGTGACATATGGGTAAATTATACTCCAGTCAGCTGTCACATTACCATATATCGACGGATACTGACCCATCTATTGACAACCGTGACTACAGAAGTAGTATGGTTACTGCTAACTATTTTAAATGTATTTAAACCTTATTCGACCTTATAAATTGTATGGGTATAATACTGAACGGTTCAGTAAGCCATAGTGACGCCTGTATTTAGCTTTACCTACAGACTACGAATCCCTTTGAATGGAATGTGGGGTTAACACACACAGTTCATCAGTGTTTTATCTTGCTTTGTATTTCAGTTTCTTTACGACCATCACTAGCTGACTTGTAAAATTCTATATCTGTGACACACATACTTATGAAAACTGAATGAAAGCTTGACGTAGAGTGTATATACCATTAACAGTCGTATTTACACATAAATAACCACTGGTATATTATCTAAGCTGCCAACTTCTGTGTTACACTTCCTGCTTGATAGATTTTCCTGGTTTTGATGACATTTAGATTATTGTAGCAAGTGTAGTATTTCATTATTTTTTTCAGACTCAATAATTACTGTGTTTGTTGTTCATGTAAATGGTTCATGTACCTCAATCTCTGAAACCAACACGTACATGGTTCATGTATCCAACACATGTACATGGTTCATGTACCTCAATCTCTGAAACCAACACGTACATGGTTCATGTACCTCAATCTCTGAAACCAACACGTACATGGTTCATGTACCTCAATCTCTGAAACCAACACGTACATGGTTCATGTACCTCAATCTCTGAAACCAACACGTACATGGTTCATGTACCTCAATCTCTGAAACCAACACGTACATGGTTCATGTACCTCAATTTCTGAAACCAATTTTACTTGACACACTTCTCTTTTAGATACTGCCAAATGTATAGTAATTACTGTACATTGTAAAATTATTAAAAATCTTGCACTACCACAGAAATGATGTTTACATTTTATTTCTCATTGTTTTGATCTCTACACTGAACTGATGCTTTAACAAGAAAATTGTTCCAGAAGAGCACATTGTTATCATGGAATCATCAGTGAACATTCAAAACACACCCCTAATACCTCTGGATAAGGGATCCCAGACAACATGTATGACCATAGGGTCAATACGTCTCTACTTATTCAAAGGCAGGGGGTGGGCTTATTACAGGACGGTGAAATAGATAAGTTAGTTTTCTTACTGAAAAATCAGTATATACATCAGATTGGACTTATTAATTACTAGTGACATTAATAGGATTAACACATACTGGGTATATGATTGGAACACTGGTGAAGGTGGGAACTCAACAATATATCAATTAAAAATGATAATATACATGTAAACAAAAACACATCTAATTACAATATTGTTTATGTGTATCATTGTTTAAACAATTTATGTGTTTACTTATTTTCTGCTTTGATAGCCTGTTTCTGTTTTTGTTCAAATCAAATTCAATAATCTCTTGTACCAGGAAATTTCTGAATAGAAAGATGATCTAATTACAGATCTGAAAATAGATATCACTGTTTTCAAGTTCAAGGTCTGATATTTGTATTGTAGAAGATGTTTATGAATATTAAGTCTGCATTTACAAAATTCGAACCAGGAAATTCCAATACGAGTAATACATTGATTAAAGCTTATATCATGGAGCTGGTTTATAATAAAATGTATATTTGTGCTGTGATCAGATGATGATGCACCTGTAATATATACAGCTTACTTATCACTTACTTTCCTTGTGGCGTACAAAAAACAGTTTGCTAAGAGTTAAACAACTCTCCTGTTTAGTTGTTTAAAAGAATTCAACACAATTTGTTGAGAAATATTTCTTTATATGATATGATCCCCTGAAATAAAGCTGCTTTTGTAAAACAATATTTAATTTTTAAAATTTCATTTAATATGATGATTTACTCCAGAACCATAAAACACTACAGTTAAGTTGTCAATAATCTTAAGTGTCTGCCGTATCAGATTCATTTCACATGTACAGAATTGTTTAATCAAACACATTAAAAAATGGATTTTGCAGTGAGACAGTTGATAGATACCATCACCTACATATGTATATTAAACAGCACTGACTGCATGTCGCATATTGGTCAGGAAAATCAACCTTTTCCTTCTGCAAATTACATATATATAGGTTGATACAAAGAGTAAAAGATTATAAACTATTGAGACTCTGGGAGGAATCTGCCATATTTCAAGCATACAAATGTATAAGAGGTTGACCTAGTTGGAGTACATGTATGTGTTAATTCAGTGGTTGTGTCTTTGCTCACATTCTGTAACTCAAGTCAGAACAAAAACTCAAGGTGACTAATCATCTGACAACCCGTTTTCAACAGCTTCTGACTGGGTCAGGTAATACAGTACGGGAAGTCAGTCTACATGTGTGTAATAATTAGTGCACATTTGTATATGGTGAAAAATAATGATTGAAAATATGTTAATCTCAAGTAAAATCTAGGTACAAAATATATGGCCTTTGACCTTTTTACACTTAATAAGTTAAAAAAACATTAGAAGCTGTCACTTAGTTCATAATGAGTGGATAATACTTGTTAATGGTTTAATATATATCCCTTTTCCTGTTGATGGAATGATACGTCACAAAAAACTTTAAAAAGAAAAGCATTGTTATGCTGCCACCATTTGTCCCATGAAACCTTGTTCTACTGCCACCATTTGTCCCATGAAACCTTGTTACACTGCCACCATTTGTCTCATGAAACCTTGTTATACGGCTGTTTGTCCCATGAAACCTTGTTATACTGCCACCATTTGTTCCATGAAACCTTGTTACACTGCCACCATTTGTCTCATGAAACCTTGTTATACTGCCACCATTTGTCTCATGAAACCTTTTTATACTGCCACCATTTGTCCCATGAAACCTTGTTATACTGCCACCATTTGTCCCATGAAACCTTGTTATACTGCCACCATTTTTCCCATGAAACCTTGTTATACTGCCACCATTTGCCCTATGAAACCTTGTTATACTGCCACCATTTGTCCTATAAAACCTTGTTACACTGCCACCATTTGTCTAGTAAAACCTTGTTATACTGCCACCATTTGTCTCATGAAACCTTGTTTGAACATGTATCAATAAGATCCATATACCTCCACTATTTGTCATTCATTAGCAGTAATTATAACATGTATGCTGCCCCCATGTAATGTCTAATCACTAAAACAATCTGTTACAAAGTGTATTTTTTGTTATACTCCCACCATTTGTCCAATAAAACTGTCTGCCACCACTGGTCAAGTAAAAACTGTTCATACTGTCATCGTTTGTCCAATAAAACCTTGTGATAATTTGACATTTTATATTGGAAAATAACAGCTTGTGATATAGGTAGAAGACGTTAAAAGTTTGTATTTTGTGTTTCAGGTTATGCTAGAGGAAACCCTGCAAAGCTTGTATTCCCCACAGATTCTGGAGGCAATATCTGTGGTTATGATAAAAGGTATGGAACTGTAGCAGTGTCATGGTTGATGTTTATAGTTAACTGAATGGGACAGTTAATAAATGACACATCATTATAAATCGTATATCTCATTGAGGTATTTTGACTGTTATACCATGAAAATATGAAAACATTACTGTAGCTTTTTACTTACTTGGCTTAGATATTTAACTGTGATGTATGTTACTTTGAAAACTTCATGTTTTGTAGGGTTAGATTTTTTTGTTGGTATTAATGGTACATTTTAGTCCACAAAGTCACATGTCCAAAATTGATAAATCCTGTCAATATGATTAATTATTGCAGATGTACTTTGTGAGTATGATTAACAAGATCAAGTGACAATGAAAAGTATTTTCCCCCCTAAATCACGAAATTTGAGCCCCTTACAAATATGTATTACAGTTTACACTTACCAATTAAAGATGACACAATCTGTTACATTTTCCAGTGTGGTGTCGAAGCCAAACCTTATGTATTTTGACTTACTACAGTGTTCCAAAGTCCAGTCCATTTTTTTAGGATGCCCTACTCCTCAAGTAAGTGCTTGTTCTTGTGTAAGCTATATCCTTAATAACTCAATTAACATTAAGATAAAACACTTTATATTTGTTGTGTTAGATAAAAATGAGAATGTTGTCTAATAATATACTGTTGTGTTTGTGTATATGTAAATGCGTGATGCTGCAAATGTTTTGTTTGTGTGGGTGTGTGACACTAAAATAAGTTGTTTTTTTGTAGGTGTGTGAGACACTAAAATAAGTTGTTTTTTTGTAGGTGTGTGAGACACTAAAATAAGTTGGGTTTTTTTTTGTATGTTTGTGAGACACTAAAATAAGTTGTTTTCATGTAGGTGTGTGAAACACTAAAATAAGTTGTTTTTGTGTAGGTATGAGAAACTGAAATATGTTGTTTTTGTGAATGTGTGTGAGACACTAAAATAAGTTGTTTTCGTGTAGGTGTGTTAAACACTAAAACAAGTTGTTTTTGTGTAGGTGTGAGACACTAAAATATGTTGTTTTTGTGTAGGTATGAGAAAATGAAATATGTTGTTTTTGTGTAGGTGTGTGACATTAAAATAAGTTGTTTTTGTGTGGTTGTATGAGACACTAAAATATGTTGTTTTTGTGTAGGTGTATGAGACACTAATATAAGTTGTTTTTGTGTAGGTGTGAGACACTAAAATAAGTTGTTTTTGTATAGGTGTGTTAGATACTATATATATGCTTTATTTGTACAGGTGTGTGAGACACTATGAATATGCTTTTAACGTATAAGGGAGACAATATGAATATGCTTTTAACATATAAGGGAGACACTATGAATATGCATTAAATGTATAAGGGAGACACTATGAATATACTTTAAATGTATAAGGGAGACACTATGAATATGCTTTAAATGTATAAAGGAGACACTATGAATATGCTTTAAATGTATAAGGGAGACACTATGAATATGCTTTAAATGTATAAAGGAGACACTATGAATATGCTTTAAATGTATAAAGGAGACACTATGAATATGCTTTAAATGTATAAGGGAGACACTCTGAATATGCTTTAAATGTATAAGGGAGACACTATGAATATGCTTTAAATGTATAAAGGAGACACTATGATTATGCTTTAAATGTATAAGGGAGACACTATGAATATGCTTTAAATGTATAAGGGAGACACTATGAATATGCTTTAAATGTATAAGGGAGACACTATGAATATGCTTTAAATGTATAAGGGAGACACTATGAATATGCTTTAAATGTATAAGGGAGACACTATGAATATGCTTTAAATGTATAAAGGAGACACTATGAATATGCTTTAAATGTATAAAGGAGACACTATGAATATGTTTTAAATGTATAAGGGAGACACTATGAATATGCTTTAAATGTATAAAGGAGACACTATGAATATGCTTTAAATGTATAAAGGAGACACTATGAATATGTTTTAAATGTATAAGGGAGACACTATGAATATGCTTTAAATGTATAAGGGAGACACTATGAATATGCTTTAAATGTATAAGGGAGACACTATGAATATGCTTTAAATGTATAAGGGAGACACTATGAATATGCTTTAAATGTATAAAGGAGACACTATGAATATGCTTTAAATGTATAAAGGAGACACTATGAATATATTTTATTTGTTTAGGTGTGTGTGGAGGCGTGTACAACAGATAAAGGAGACACTATGAATATATTTTATTTGTTTAGGTGTGTGTGGAGGCGTGTACAACAGATTATTATGTTTACCTAGAATCTATAGCCATTGAGACAGCAGGTGGAGGACAGGACAATACAGAACGGAATAAACTGCTCTGTAAATATGGTGTAGACCCTACGGCAGGAACAGTAAGTTTAACTGCTGAAAAGTTTAAAAACCTGTCTAACCAAAAAATTCTGAAATTTCTTTATTTGCAATAAAAAACTAATACATCCCTATCACTTGAAAAAGATAAATTTACAATGTCTGTTGGAGACATAAAGGGATTGAAATGTTTTCTCTCTTTTTTTTTTCAATGGAAAAAATTCAAATTACTTGTCCTTTTTTAGGTTAGACACCTTGCTGTCAGTACATCAAACTCTGTAATTATATTAGTTTTCATCTGTTATATCTCATTCAATGATAGAAAATGATGTCTTAATTTTAGCTCAAATGGATGATTATATAATCTGAAGGTTACCAACCATCAACATGCTCCTTGGATATAAATTTCAAGGACAGGTAGTCCACGCGACTTCATTGTGTAAGAAATGCTAAAATTATAGATTGACTATGGAATTTTGTGTTGGTTTTTACAGAAGAGTATCCAGCAGCTTATATCAGATGAAGACTGTGCAGCCTACTACCTTCCCAACACTGCAAGTGGGTACATCATGTATTGTGTATTTTACAATCATGTTCTACCTCCCAGGTGAATATTAGTCACTTAACCCCTGTCTGACATAAACAGGAAATATACATCTGTGGTTTGTGGGTTCCTGAGATTTCAACTGCAGCCATGTCAAAGATGGCAATTGCTTGAATATTTTTTAAAGTTTTCCAATATGGCAGCAATTATCGTGTGGTTTTCTCCCGTTTTTCAGTTGTCGGTCGTTGTGTTCCGTCCATTTTCTTGACTATTTTTGACAAGTCCCAGGAGCTGGTCACATCTGGAAACTTCAAAATCACTACAGCTGGAGGAACACCAGTGACGGGAAACCTCATAGAAACTGCCAGCGAGTCAGTATTTACACAATGTTGTTTACTAGCCAGTCTTCTACATTCAACAGTTAAACATTAACATTTGTAAAATCAAAGTTCTGAGAGTCGGCTAAATATAGGAGTGTACTGAATAGTTTGGGCTTTTTGTCAGTTCTATTTTATATTTGATCATCTCTTTACATTGAGATCATGTTTTTTTTTCTTTGAATATTATTTTTAACTATATAAGGTCCACAAAATGAATTTGAAATTTAAATACTGAAATATTCTGGCATATTTTATGGTGTGAGTAGGTTTTTTTATGGCCAATATCAGGTTGAACAGATGATATCAGGTGAGCTGATGACATTGCATTTGCCAAAAAGCTTGTGTGATATCAATCTCAAATGAAATTTGGAATTGATTCCAGTTTGTGATGCTCTAAAGATGTCAGAAAAATTAAAAAAGAGTCAGAATAAACTTTCCATTAGCCATAAAGTGTTGTATAATTAACTATTTGTTGCAGGTATCTTGCCACATTTTTGTCTGCTACCCAAGTTGTGGAGCTTGTGTTTAAGGATATTGTGACAGCCTGGTACCTCATGCTTATGTGAGTATATAACATAATAATATGCCTACAGGCTAACTTATTATCAGCCTGGTACCTGATGCTTATGTGTGTGTACCTACAACCCTATTTACTGTTAGCCTGGTACCTCGTGCCTATGTGTGTACCTACAACCCTATTTACTGTTAGTCTGGTACCTCATGCCTATGTGAATGTATACCTACAACCCTATTTACTGTTAGCCTGGTACCTCATGCCTATGTGTGTACCTACAACCTTATTTACTTAAGCCTGGTACCTCATGCTTGTGTGAATATGTACCTACAACCTTCTTTACTTTAGCCTGGTACCTCATGTTTGTGTGAATATGTACCTACAACCTTATTTACTGTTAGCCTGGTACCTCATGCCTGTGTGAGTGTGTACCTACAACCCTATATACTGTTAGCCCGGTACCTCATGCCTATGTGAGTGTGTAACTACAACCCTATTTACTGTTAGCCTGGTACCTCATGCCTATGTGAGTGTGTATCTACAACCCTATATACTGTTAGCCTGGTACTTCATGCCTATGTGAGTGTGGACCTACAACCCTATTTACTGTTAGCCTGGTACCTCATGCCTATGTGAGTGTGTACCTACAACCCTATTTACTGTTAGCCTAGTACCTCATGCCTATATGTGTACCTACAACCTTATTTACTGTTAGCCTGGTACCTCATGCCTATGTGTGTGTGTACCTACAACCCTATTTACTGTTAGCCTGGTACCTCATGCCTATGTGTGTATCTACAACCTTATTTACTGTGAGCCTGGTACCTCATGCCTATGTGATTATCTACAACCCTATTTACTGTTAGCCTGGTACCTCATGCCTATATGAGTGTGTACCTACAACCCTATTTACTGTTAGCCTGGTACCTCATGCCTATGTGAGTGTGTATCTACAACCCTATATACTGTTAGCCTGGTACCTCATGCCTATGTGAGTGTGTATCTACCACCCTATTTACTGTTAGCCTGGTACCTCATGCCTATGTGAGTGTGTATCTACAACCCTATTTACTGTTAGCCTGGTACCTCATGCCTATGTGAGTGTGTATCTACAACCCTATATACTGTTAGCCTGGTACCTCATGCCTATGTGAGTGTGTATCTACCACCCTATTTACTGTTAGCCTGGTACCTCATGCCTATGTGAGTGTGTACCTACAACCCTATTTACTGTGAGCCTGGTACCTCATGCCTATGTGAGTGTGTACCTACAACCCTATTTACTGTGAGCTTGGTACCTTATGCCTATGTGAGTTTGTACCTACAACCTTATTTACTGTGAGCCTGGTACCTTATGCCTATGTGACTATTTACACTTACAACATAAGTTACTGTTAGACAGGAATCTCGTACTTGTTTGGGTATATTCACACCTACAACTCTACTTACTGTCTATTAATTATGTGATAGTGACTGTTGTATGGTAACAATGTAAAAGTTGGACCATAACTTGTCATTATCAATACATTTTACCTTAAATTTTTCAGGGTGTAATATATATATATATAGATATATAACAAAGATTTATTTTCTCTATATATCACAATAAATTTTTTTTTATATGGAATGTATATATGTTTTTTCATCATTGCACTGTTGGCTTTTATTCATTTATTTTTTCATCCCATTTTAAAATTTCTTTGATGGCAGCTTCTGTGCGATAGCCGTAGTGGTCTGTTTCATCTGGATTGTCCTTCTTCGATGGTTTGCTGGCATCCTCGTCTGGGTCAGCATCGTTGTCGTTCTGGCCCTCCTTGGCTTTGGTGTGTATTATAATATACACATTATATATCTCAGAACAGAGAAACCTTATGTTTCTGTTTAAATGATTATTGATATGTTTCAGCTTAGAAGACTGCATTGAAGTAACAAAACAATGAAAGTTTGTACAATATTCTAGAGTGTATTACAATATAGGATGTGGTAGTTACTGACCACAAAGTAAGAGAAATGAAGAGGGGTGGGAGTCTGACTCAGTATTATGTATTACATTTTATGTCCTACTGTTATACTGGTCCTAATATTATATCATCACTCTATAATATGTTGATTAGGAATGAGATCTTTAACAAATTTGCGTCCAATCTGGTTTTAATGCAGTATTGGTGTAACCCTATAATTGGTGTAACCCTTTAATTGGTGTAACACTAAAATTAATGTTACCCTATAATTGATGTAACACTATAATTAATGTAATCTTTTAACTGATGTAACAACATAATTAGTTTAACACTATAATTGGTGTAACCCTTCAACTGATGTAACCCTATGATTGTCGTAATATGTTAACTGATGTAACCCTATAATTGTTGTAACACTATAATTAATGTAATCTTTTAATTGATGTAACAACATAATTAGTTTAACACTATAATTGGTGTAATCCTTAAACTGATGTAACCCTATAATGGTGTAACCCTATAATTGATGTAATCTGTTAAATGACTTAACCCTCTAATTGGTGTAACACTATAATATTAGTGATGTCTTTGCATTAGGTGAAGTCCTTTATCAGATGTAACCCTATATATTTAATGCAACCCCATATTTGGTGTATATTTGATGCCCTAATTTTAGTGTATCCCTATATAAGTATGTGGTATAAACCTATATATTTAACATATCCCTATATTTTGGGTAACTCTATAGATATGTGGCATATATACATATATTTGTTGTAACCCTATATATATTTAGCATATTCCTAAATTTGTTGTAACCCTATATATATTTGGCAAATCCCTATATTTGTTGTAACCCTATATATGTTTGGCAAATCCCTATATTTGTGGTAACCCTATATATATTTGGCCAATCCCTATATTTGTTGTAACCCTATATACATTTAGAAAATCCCTATATTTCTTGCAACTCTATATATATTTGATATATCCCTATATTTGGTGTAGCCATACTTGTATATTTGGTGTAAACCAAAATATGTGGTGTAACCATATTATTTGGTCTCATTTAGATATTTTTGGTGAAGCCTATATTTGGTGTAACCCATATTTGGTGAAGCTCTTTGTTTGATGAATGCGTATTTTGGTAAAACTTTGTATTTAGTGAAAACTTTAGTGTAACCATATATCTTATTAAACCCTATATCTGGTGAATCCCTACATTTGTTGTGACCCAATATTTGGTAAAGTGCAATATTTGATAAGGACCATTATTTGGTGAAGTTCTATGTTTAGTGTAATCATATATTTGGTACAGCCCAATATTTAGTAAAGAGGGTAGCCCTATAATTGATAAAGTCCTATTTTTGGTAAAACCAGATATATTTGTTGTAACTGTATATCTGTTACCACCTTACATTTGGTAAAGCCCAATATATGGTTTTAACTGTGAATTACCACAATATGTTTGATGTATTTCTGTATTTGGTGAGACACTCTGTTTGGTGCTATATTTAGACATTTTGTTGTAGGCTGTTATTACAGCTATTCCCAGTACTATGAGCTAAAGAACCAGAATGTTACAGCAGAGTTTGGGGTGTCGGAACTCTTCACCCTCAATTTTAGTTACTACCTCCGTCTGCGGGAGACCTGGCTGGCATTTGGTAAGTTTAATGGTTATGAAATGCATCTATGTACTGTTGCCATAACCCTATCAGTGAACCCTACTTATTGGTGACTTGTTCGCATATTTTAACAGGAGAAAATCAGGAAATCAACACATAATTAATGTAATGGTGGATTCTAAGCTTATTTTTAAATTCTTTTTAAATGAAATATTTTGAAATGCAAATTAAATCAGATTTTGAATTCCAGGAAATATTTCATTTAACATTTATATCTTACAGGTTGTACAACAGCAACGATTCTCCTTATTTTTCTCCTCATCCTCATTTTTTTGGTATCAAGAATATGTATCGCCATTGAGCTGATCAAAGAAGGCAGTAGGTAAGTAGCGTTAGGTATGTTTATAACACTCAGATCAAGAAATTAATCATCTTAATGGGTTTTTTTCATTATTGATATACATCATTATTGTAGTATTATTTCAATTTTTTTTATAAAATCTGAGAGGGACCTTTCATACCATTATGAATGACATAAGTATTAAATATAATTGGGACAGGATGCATCATATATTTATTCCTAATATCCATTAGTCAACCCTAATCTCCATGTATTATTTGGTCAATAGCCATATGTTCACCAGAATATAGCAGAATACATTCCAATCTTTTATACATTCAATCTATTCAAAATGTAATCCTCCTTCAGGAACATTTTATTTTGATGAAATATGTTTGAGTAACTACATTTTTTTTTACCTATTTCAGGGCAATAAGTAACATGGTCTTCACACTCTTGTGGCCCATCATCCCATTTATTATACAGCTGGCTGTTGTTGCCTACATGGGAGCCAGTGCTATGTATCCTTGACAACAAAATGTCATCTGATTTGAATTTTGTGTGTGATTTTTCATAAGTTTAAATTTACCTGAAATATAATTGTATTTTTTGCCAATAATGTCACATGACCAGGTTTGTTCTGTTAGCCAATAATGTAAGCACCGACGTATAATAACTTAATCACTTTGACTTCTATGTTGATGGATCAGGTGATCTATTCAGATCATGTGACTTCTGTGTTGATGGATCAGGTGATTTGATCCAATCATGTGACTTCTGTGTTGATGGAAAATCTCTTTAAAATCTGTAAATGTACATCTGAACCATAGGTATAGCAGTCTCACAAATGTTGTCAATCTCAGGATGAATTGGTTCAGAATTATCTTCTGATATGGACTGATACATTACACATAGATATTATAAGAATTTATAACACAAAGAAACTTGTCCTTGACCTCAAAAGCTACATAGCATCTATTGGTGGACCAGAGTATTACTCCAACGGTACAGATGTCGCTAACAGCATCAATTCTGTCTTGGACCGAGTGCCTTGTACTCCTGATGTAAGTTTTACCATCTCTACTGCCTGATTTTTCCTTTATCCTTTCTGCCATGTGTCTCCTGTATCTCTCTACTCCTTCCTTGTCTTCTGTCTCTCACTACATGTCTCTGTGATACTATTACCAAATCTGCCAATTAATTGTTATATTCTGTCTTGTCCTTTCTAATTATAACTGACAATGGTTTTGATTTTTGTATAGAACACTACTGTGGGGTCCTTCTGTGACTTTGTCCGGTACGGAGGTACAGACTATATCATCGCTATGGAGGTTTTCATGTTGTTTATGTTCTTCTGGTTGATGAACTTTGTCGTTGCCCTTGGACAAATGACCTTGGCTGGAGCATTTGCCTCTTACTACTGGGCATTTGAGAAACCAAAAGATATCCCAGCATTCCCATTGATGTCGGGATTTTACCGATCCATCAGGTTTGTGATTAAGTGTCGGGATATACATGTCACTGTAATTTCTGAATAAACAGACACTATAATAGTATCAATATAAAAACATGTAGTGTTGTAAATATTTCAGATTTTCTTTATGTTAATGTGTGTATATTGTGTTAGAGCACAAAGAATTAGAGAGAAGAAATATCTCAGTAATATTGAAAATATACCAATATTTTAGGTATCACCTTGGAACACTGGCATTCGGTTCTCTCATCATAGCCATAATACAGATGATCAGAGTGGCGCTGGAATACTTAGACAGTAAATTAAAGGGCGCTGAAAACAAAGTGGCAAAATTCATGGTCAAGTAAGTAATCCTGGTGATAAAGTTTACAAATTAATGATATTTAAGTCAAAATGTTTAAATTTGATGGTGAAAAGTAAGATTTAATGTTTTTAACTGTCTATTGTAGTAATGTGAATTTACTCTATAATTTCCAAACAGTTTTTGAGTGATTGTTTACATTATCTTCGTATTTAAGTACATGATGTAGACATGAAGAATTACCTGTGTTATTTTGTAGTAATTTAACACTCATAATCAATGCTTTATTTCCAGGTGCTTGAAATGCTTTTTTGCTTGTTTAGAAAAATTGATCAAATTCCTAAACAGGAATGCTTATATCATGGTAAGTACCCAATACCTGATGTGTTTTATCATGTCTATGATAAGTACCCAGTAGCTGATGTGTTGTACCTTGTCTATAATAACTTACCATTGTATTTATCTGACAATCGGTAAATCTTGATGCCTGTTGATAAGCCCACCTTTCCGTAATTAAAGTAATTAGCTTATTGCAATGAAAAACTGAGATATTACATATGTTCAATGCTGATAAGAGATGGTTAGGATTGTATCCCATAATATTTATATGATGACTTTCCAGATCATGTCATGAGGTGATAGAATTAGCTATTTTTTAATTTTATCTGATTTGTATAGTGTCAATATATTTTTTTATTTCCTTATATCTACAAATAACAGAGAATTTGTAAATGTTTAATTTTATCTGATTTGTATAGTGTCAATATATTTTTTTGTTTCCTTATATCTACAAGTTACAGAAAATTTGCTGTTTTTCACTTTATCTGATTGTATTGTGTTTATAGAGATAATCGTATTTCCTCCTTTATCCAAATTACAGACAGCAGTTTATGGAAAAAATTTCTGCACAGCTGCAAAAGATGCGTTTTTCTTAATCATGAGAAATGTTGTGAGGTATGTTTCCCTTAACACTCACCCTAGTAGCATAGCTGGTTATATCTTGACATAAGAATTAAGTAATCTTGTTACTAATTTTTGAAGACAATCTGGAAAAAGTTTTGGAGATGATATTCTGTGCATTTGTTAAAATGTTTGTATAATGTAAAAAAGTCTTACTTAACTTTATAAGATTGTGAATAATACGAACAATCCCTGTAATGTAATTTATTGATCTGTTACTAGTTATGATAATTGTAGTGAATATTTATGATATTGTAAGCAAATTTCACCGTTATCATACATCGTAATTAATGTAAATGGCTCTTCTATTAACCTTTGACCTTGATACAATTTGACCTTGACCTTTGTTGACAGAGCGGTGGTGTTAGACAAGGTCACAGATTATGTACTGTTCCTCAGTAAATTCATGGTCACTGCTGGAGTAGGTAAGTTATACACATGGGCGTGTGTTGGTGTGTTCTGGTGAGAAAGCAGGAACTTTTTTATATAACATAAAGGGATCATCACGTGATCAGGACAATTCACAAAACAATTTGCATGCTTTTTATGTAGGTATAGATTACATGATATACACATCTAGTACAAAGTATATGAATCCAGGAAAAATGGTCATTGTTTAATTCATAGAAAAGTAGAAGAGTGGTATGATCCCTAACTAACAGGAATTTACCTGATGTATCTCTCATTACGGAGATGATGTAGAAAATTATAGTTACAGGTTTAGAGTTTATTTCACCCCGTGAAAAAGATTTAAGGCTCAACATTAAATACGTTCAACACAGGTATATGTCTTCGTTGTAAAGTTAAGACCTTACAAGCTTTGTTTGTACACTTTAATGATTAATTGTTGTAAATGATATAACTGTTTTACAGGTGTGGGAGCCTATTTCTGGTTTCAAGGAAAAGTGAGCCTTTTCACACAGTTTATTCCTGTTCTCAACTACTACCTAACACCTGTTATTGTAAGTATCAGTTTGGGAACTGTACTACATTTAATTTGATGGTGTCACAGCCAGAGTACTAACTTCGGATGGCATTTTATAATGTAATCATGATAGGCTGGATTCTAAAAACTGTTGTAATTATCACAATGTCTGTAATCACTATGTTAGTACAATATAATTGTTGCCATTATAATTATCTTAACTGTTGTAGTTACAGTTATCTCATTAAGTGTTGTAGTTACAGGTATCTCATTAAGTGTTGAAGTTACAGGTATGTCATTAAGTGTTGTAGTTACAGGTATGTCATTAAGTGTTGTAGTTACAGGTGTCACATTAAGTGTTGTAGTTACAGGTATGTCATTAAGTGTTGTAGTTACAGGTGTCTCAGTAAGTGTTGTACTTACAGGTATGTCATTAAATGTTGTAGTTACAGGTGTCTCATTAAGTGTTGTACTTACAGGTATGTCATTAAGTGTTGTAGTTACAGGTATCTCATTAAGTGTTGTACTTACAGGTATGTCATTAAATGTTGTAGTTACAGGTGTCTCATTAAGTGTTGTAGTTACAGGTATCTCAGTAAGTGTTGTAGTTACAGGTATCTCATTAAGTGTTGTAGTTACAGGTATCTATCTCATTAAGTGTTGTAGTTACAGATATTTCAGTAAGTGTTGTAGTTACAGGTATGTCATTAAATGTTGTAGTTACAGGTATCTCAATAAGTGTTGTAGTTACAGGTGTGTCATTAAGTATTGTAGTATTATAGTAGGTGATAGTAAGGCCCCAAACAAAAGTGTGATTTACAGCCATATAGTGAGTAAGGCCCTTGCTGATCCATCAGTGTTCTTGTTATCACAGTAAGTGTTGTAACTATAACTATCAGAATCAGTGTTGTAACTATAACTTTCACAATAAGTATAGCATTTGTAACTATAACTATCACAATCAGTGTTGTAACTCTAACTATCACAATCAGTGTTGTAACTATAACTATCACAATCAGTGTTGTAACTATAACTATCACAATCAGTGTTGTAACTATTACTATCACAATCAGTGTTGTAACTATAACTATCACAATCAGTGTTGTAACTATAACTATCACAATCAGTGTTGTAACTATAACTATCACAATCAGTGTTGTAACTATAACTATCACAATCAGTATAGCATTTGTAACTATAACTATCACAATCAGTGTTGTAACTATTACTATCACAATCAGTGTTGTAACTATAACTATCACAATCAGTGTTGTAACTATAACTATCACAATCAGTGTTGTAACTATAACTATCACAATCAGTGTTGTAACTATAACTATCACAATCAGTGTTGTAACTATAACTATCACAATAAGTACAGCATTTGTAACTATAACTATCACAATCAGTGTTGTAACTATTACTATCACAATCAGTGTTGTAACTATAACTATCACAATAAGTATAGCATTTGTAACTATAACTATCACAATCAGTGTTTTAACTATAACTATCACAATCAGTGTTGTAACTATAACTATCACAATAAGTATAGCATTTGTAACTATAACTATCACAATCAGTGTTGTAACTATTACTATCACAATCAGTGTTGTAACTATAACTATCACAATCAGTGTTGTAACTATAACTATCACAATCAGTGTTGTAACTATAACTATCACAATAAGTACAGCATTTGTAACTATAACTATCACAATCAGTGTTGTAACTATAACTATCACAATCAGTGTTGTAACTATAACTATCACAATAAGTATAGCATTTGTAACTATAACTATCACAATCAGTGTTGTAACTATAACTATCACAATCAGTGTTGTAACTATAACTATCACAATCAGTGTTGTAACTATAACTATCACAATCAGTGTTGTAACTATAACTATCACAATCAGTGTTGTAACTATAACTATCACAATCAGTGTTTTAACTATAACTATCACAATCAGTGTTGTAACTATAACTATCACAATCAGTGTTGTAACTATAACTATCACAATCAGTGTTGTAACTATAACTATCACAATCAGTGATAAAATAAGCACTGACAATAAGTGTGTACTTATTGACACTATCAATGTTACTCTCTTCCCACAGGTTGTTATCCTAGGCACCTACCTGATCACCTGCTGTTTCTTTAGTGTCTACACAATGGCTGTGGACACATTGTTCCTGTGTTTCTGTGAGTATATATTTAGTACCATCTCAATCTTTAGTCCATCTCATTATAATTGATGAATGTCTCTGATATAGGACCATCCATTTGTATCCATACCTGTTGAAGAATATGTAAATTCATGATTGAAGTTCATTTGTACACTTGTATATGTCAAACATACTTACTTGGATGAGGATTTTAGAAAGGCTTATCAATGGCCTGTTACAGAGGCTGGATCTGATGTTTATATTTCTCTGATAGATCCTGTGTTTTACTTTTCTTCCAATTCTGTAGTTAAGAAACATGGTTAAGATCTGTTTTGAAGTTATTCATTTAACAGATACAAACATGAGAGATCTATAGATTGAAAAACTTATAGATAGTATTTAGTTTTTGGCTTGTGTTGTCTGACAAACTTGTTTGGGTGAAATAAACCAGTGTAGTATGCATCTATATTAGTGTATGCTGTGTGTTATTTGTCATACACCTCAGTTCTTACTTTTAGGAAAGTTTTTTCAGTCAGTACTTCATGAAACTTGGTGGAAATCACAAATGAATGATGAGGATAGGAATATATACTTAGTAAGGGACTCAGCTCCTTGGGAATTTAGGGGTCAAAGTGTTGGACCGAAAGTGACCACTGAGTACACAACAAATTTATGAATTTTAAAGAGATGTCTATCAGATTTCAATGAATTTTTGTGTCTACTTTAAAGGCAGTACATGGGAATAGATAAGTTTTTGTTGTATCCTGATGACAGAAAAACAATAAAAAGGAAAAAGGAAATTGGCTCATTTAAAATGAAGTATCCCAAAAAGTAAGACTGCAGAATTTGACTGTGGCAAAAAATTGTTTCAGTATTAGAAGCTTCCATGACGGCCTGATAGGACATTTGTTTGCGCCATTTTATTTAATGAAAACCATTAATATGACTTTCTTAAATCATGTTTGACTTTCAGTGGAAGACTTAGAAATGCATGATGGGAGTCCCGAGAAGCCCTATTACATGAGTAAAGGATTAATGAAGATATTGAGGAAGAAAAACAAGAAAGAGAAGAAGGAAAATGAGACAGATGGAAATGAAGATAAAGCGAAGGAGGAAAAATAAGCCACATGGCATGTTTTACTTCAGTACTTAACTCATCATTTTGAATTAATAGTCAGATATTTCATTACTTAACTAGTAATAATAAAATAGTGTATCATTACTGAACAGTCCAGGTTACTGAATATTTTCATGAATATAAGAATATTTTTTGACACATTTCTTTTTTACACAAATTATGGTTTTGTATTTCATCCACAGAAATGGGAGGACAATTAGCTTATACATTGTATATTGTAAGCTATGAGGAGATAATATTGTCAGTCATGCTTGAGTGGATTTTTATTTGTAAATATCTTATCAATACATAACTTTGTTCAAATAAATGACCTTGAGCCACTTTAAGAATCAGAGAGGTCAGATGTATTTATACTTTCTGATGAATATCCAAGAAGACCTGATAGTGTCATGGTGAATACCATGCTGAAATTCAGCAGGTAAGAAAATGAATTGTCTTCACTGACTAACAAGGCTGAAGGGATCATCTTAAAAATGTCATGCTAAAATTCATTAGGTAAGATGATGAATTACCTTCACCTACTAACAAGGTTGAAGGGATCATCTTAAGATCTTTGAATTGATCTGAATAACCTCAAGACCCTCAGAGTCATATTTGGCTAGATGTTTTGAATTTTGACAAAAGTTATAAGTCAGCTTTGAAAGTAACAGTCCTCGGAAAAACATCTCTGCAGTGAGTCTTCCAAAGAAATAAAATGATAAGACAATATAGTTTCACATTTTTGACAGACATTTGTGTTCATAGAATTCAATAACATTGTTTTCATGATTGGATATCAAAATTCTGCTATTTTTAAGGCATTTTTGATTATTTTACCTGCTAAATCGTTAATCTACTTGATAATGATCATGGGTTATATCAACAGCTTCAGTCTTGCATTTAAATGGCTTGCTATTCATGGGCTACAAATTCTATGCTTTATAGTGATAAATGGTGGTGAGGTTTTAGTGTAGGAAAGACTTTGATGTTCTATTCCAAGGGCTTCAAATTCTTTGCTCCATATTGTTAAAGTTGTGATTCTTTTTTGTTTGAAATGTACACCAGTGGAAAGAATGAAAGGAGAAAATTGATGATTACAGATAGAAAATCAATTTATCACATGTTTCTGATATTCATTTATATAATCTATTCATATTTTCATGTTTGTCTCTAATGCAACAGCGTCACTCTGTATTAATTGTTATTTAACCACTTTCAAGATATACTGTTATATGTCCATAGCAATGTTGTCTCTTCACTGTGTGATGTCCTTTGAAATGCTACAAAGGAAAGATAGTTATTTGTTATGAAATATTTTAAGTTTTCTAACCTTAAAAGGACTTTTAGCAATAATTTGACCTTTTTTGTGACACTTCTAGTGTTTAACCACCTGTGCTAATCTGTACAGGCAAGAATCAGATACGTGTATAGGAAAAGTTATTAAAACAATGATTAATTCATCATCCTCAATAGGAATGAATGATCAGGAACCTTGATACTTAATCTTGATTGATATGAAATTTTAGAATCGCAAATAGCAATGAAGATATAAAGGAAACAAACATATAATTATATTTCCCTGATATTGTATTGTTGAATTTAGGTGTGAGTTTGCCAGATCTGATCCATGTTGGTCTGTATACCATCATTTTATGTTTCTCTGTATAAGATGATATTTTTATATTAAAAAAAATGTATTTATTTTAGTGCCATCACTAGTTTCTATTTGCTCAACATATATTAAAATGAAGAGAAGACTTTTCTGGCAATTCTTTACAGTATTTTAAGTCTTATCACTATTTGTATTTATAAAAAAAATTATGAAATTGCTGAAATTAATTACATTCGTTTTCAATTTTTATACTCTAGCTGTGTGATGTTTAACTCTTTGCCATAATACATCGATAATTCTCATTATCTTTATTGTTATGTAAAATATATGCCACAGAGATTATGAAAGTTTTATAAAACTATGTTAAATACCCTTTTTTATCTCTGATACATGTGTTGTTGGTTTGGGATGAATAGTAGAATTCTTATTAGTTGTAACAATCAAATACGTCTTGGTCTCAGTCTACAAACATGGTGATTAGTCCCAACATCTTCGTTTTTTATTGTTAACTTGTATAAATAAATTCTACATTAATTTTCCTTGTTGTGAAGTTCACAGATTCAACTGTTAAATCCAAATTTGATCTGAATATTATATTTTCTTTTTCATAGTCAATACTTTTGTAGTTTTTTATTTTATCTAAAAGTTGCTCTCATTGCTAAATAATATATGATGTTTATAGTATTTTTTTCGACAATTTTTTTACCTAAACAATAAGGAAGTGTTTAAGATCAGTAAACCCTACAAACATTATCTCTAACTTTTATTGTCGTATTTCTGTAACTTTACGTCTGATAGACTAAGTTACATTATCAGAGTTTATGATATTAAGTTTTGTACATGGTGTATTGTTTTTTAATTTACTACACAAATATGCTGCCTAAGTACACATGTCTCTCATTATAGATGTCTATAAACCAAATGTGTTTCATGATGATCACAAGGGCATTGTCTCTGTCAGTGTACTGCTATGATCCTAATACAGGTCAGAGACACTTGTACTGGAAACAGTTAATAATGATTGGTGATAAGCTATTACATATGTGTTTTAAACCTATTGGTATATGTTTATATTAGTTAGGTTGGAGGTCAGCTTCCCATAAGTGTTGTCAGTAATGTCATCTTAGATGTTATACACACTGCTGATGACATCACAAGTGTTAAACTAACAAACATCGAGGATATCACTCCTTGGATTGGAGTGTTATGGGATATTACTCTGATTCTGGTGTGTAGGTTCTCAATGCTTTGTATTGCTTTCAGTCAAAGAAACATTTAAAACATAATTTTTAGTAATACCGTATGGGCAGTTATTACAGCTGGGGTAAGTTTGAAGTATATAAACATGATGGTGAAAATTTAATTCAAGAAGTAATGAGACATGTGTATAAGATGTCCTTTAACATCCAGATCACAAAATTTTCATTGGTTTAAATAAAATTCTGTCGCTTTGAAGGAAAATTTTGACCTGTTAAATTGAACAGTTATATGTTACATACTCTAGTTGGCTGAAACCAGGGTGTGTGTGACTGAAGCTGCTTGTGGTTCCTATAATGAACTGATCACTGAATGTGGCTGACTGTAAGTAAATGTGCACTATAAACACAAGTCACTTTATCTTTTCTAAAAGTCACGGTACAAAGTCTAAATCAGAACTATAACTTTATTAAGTTTTCCATGAATGACATTTCTAGCCTGACCCTAACCCAGACATATTATATCAAACAGTGGCACAGGTATGGTCAATATAGGCAATAGTTTCTGATTCCTTCTAGAAATGACATGTAATATTAATGGGAAACATTGACATGTAAGGTCAGTACTAACCACAGACTCCTAACCTGTAGTATCGGGGCATTCTTCCCACATCAAATGTTTAAAGCTGAGAGAACTTTTATTCTAATCATGTTGACACTACTGTTGCCACATTCCAATTGTTACATTCTATGAATACTTTTGTAGTAATATATATAATTTCTAACTGATATCCACCAATGATGAATCGTGTGATATAATTGGAATTTTTAACATTAAATGTAAATCCAGGTTTATTTCTGTTATATTTGTCCTGAAGACAGAAAATCAAAGTTTGTCAATGTGTTATGTCTTAATACAGATATTTGTTATAATCTATGAACTTCCATGTCACTCTTATGTGCACCCTGTTATTTTTTTTTCAAGGGAGGTAATCATGGTGCTTTAATCTTCCTAATCAAAAGTTGATGCTCAGGCTTGTAGAAAGATCAACATAATCCAAACAATTTCTTGCCAAAACTACTGTCACTAAGATGTCCTGGTGTGATTTTCTTTGATGTTTCACATAAAATCAAAACTTAAATGGATCCCATTATGATATGGTTTCATTATAATGCCATAAAAGCTGTCTCGTTTTGTTAACTGTTAATAGATGGCAAAGATGGTGAGAACTTTTCATTAAAGTTAGGATAATGTGCTTTAATCCCATTTTTTTGCATTGGTGAGAGATTTTAACCTGAGATTGGTATTTATCTTTGTAACATATGTTGTCCTAATTCATATATTTTTGAATGTTTGAATTTCGAAAAAGACATTTTTTTAAAACCCTTCTCGTTAGTTGATGCATGTCTTCTGTAGAACTTTTACTTATTTCATTGCTGAATCAGTGAATTTTTTCTATGATACTGCTTAAAAATCTTTTTTTTAGATAGCAAATTATGTCTTGTACATGTATGTCATCAACCTTTTTCTAAGTAAATATCTTAATATTGAATGTTTGAAAAAATTAATACGCATACTGCTTCACTTAAAAGTCACAGAACCTATAACTACTCATGTAATATCTAAACGGAGTATAGGTTTATGTTGATGTAAGGGCTCTACACGGTCAGTCATACAGATGTTTTGTTATAGATAGTCTAATAAATAGGGCCTGTTATAGTCTATACAGAGGGCCTGTTATACAATGTATTATGAAAGGATGGTTAACAAAAACCAGGAAATAGTTGTACACTTTGCAAAATAAATAATTATTTAAATATTTGTTTTTGTATTGTTTTTACATATTAAATTAGGTTTATGGTTTTTTTAATGACCCAGTGATTATCACGTTAGAAGTAACACATAGCAAATGTGAAGCTGTCTTAACTCAAGTATGCAGCTGCATAATTATCATCAAAAATGATTTCTAAATAGTTGTTACTGGTCACCATTGATAGTCGTTACTGGTCACCATTGGTAGTCGTTACTGGTCACCATTTGTAGTCGTTACTGGTCACCATTGGTAGTCGTTACTGGTCACCATTGATAGTCGTTAATGATGACCATTGATAGTCGTTACTGGTCACCATTGGTAGTCGTTACTGGTCACCATTTGTAGTCGTTACTGGTCATCATTGGTAGTCGTTAATGATCACCATTGATAGTCGTTACTGGTCACCACTGATAATCGTTACTGGTCACCACTGATGGTCGTTACTGGTCACCACTGATAGTCGTTACTGGTCACCACTGATAGTCGTTACTGGTCACCATTGATAGTCGTTACTGGTCACCATTGGTAGTCGTTACTGGTCACCATTGGTAGTCGTTAATGATCACCATTGATAGTCGTTACTGGTCACCATTGATAGTCGTTACTGGTCACCATTGATAGTCGTTACTGGTCACCATTGATAGTCGTTACTGGTCACCATTGATAGTCGTTACTGATAGTCGTTACTGGTCACCATTGATAGTCGTTACTGGTCACCATTGATAGTCGTTACTGGTCACCATTGATAGTCGTTACTGATAGTCGTTACTGGTCACCATTGATAGTCGTTAATGATCACCATTGATAGTCGTTACTGGTCACCATTGATAGTCGTTACTGGTCACCATTGATAGTCGTTAATGATCACCATTGATAGTCGTTACTGGTCACCATTGATAGTCGTTACTGGTCACCACTGGTAGTCGTTACTGGTCACCACTGGTAGTCGTTACTGGTCACCACTGGTAGTCGTTACTGGTCACCATCGATAGTCGTTAATGATCACCATCGATAATCGTTACTGGTCACCATTGATAGTCGTTACTGGTCACCATTGATAGTCGTTACTGGTCACCATTGATAGTCGTTACTGGTCACCATTGATAGTCGTTACTGATAGTCGTTACTGGTCACCATTGATAGTCGTTACTGGTCACCATTGATAGTCGTTACTGGTCACCATTGATAGTCGTTACTGATAGTCGTTACTGGTCACCATTGATAGTCGTTAATGATCACCATCGATAGTCGTTACTGGTCACCATTGATAGTCGTTAATGATCACCATTGATAGTCGTTACTGGTCACCATTGATAGTCGTTACTGGTCACCATTGATAGTCGTTACTGGTCACCACTGGTAGTCGTTACTGGTCACCACTGGTAGTCGTTACTGGTCACCACTGGTAGTCGTTACTGGTCACCACTGGTAGTCGTTACTGGTCACCATCGATAGTCGTTAATGATCACCATCGATAATCGTTACTGGTCACCATTGATAGTCGTTACTGGTCACCATTGATAGTCGTTAATGGGTCACCATTGATAGTCGTTAATGATAGTCGTTACTGGTCACCATTGATAGTCGTTACTGGTCACCATTGATAGTCGTTACTGGTCACCATTGATAGTCGTTACTGGTCACCATTGATAGTCGTTACTGGTCACCATTGGTAGTCGTTACTGGTCACCATTGGTAGTCGTTAATGGTCACCATTGATAGTCGTTACTGGTCACCATTGATAGTCGTTACTGGTCACCATTGATAGTCGTTACTGGTCACCACTGGTAGTCGTTACTGGTCACCACTGGTAGTCGTTACTGGTCACCACTGGTAGTCGTTACTGGTCACCATCGATAGTCGTTAATGATCACCATCGATAGTCGTTACTGGTCACCATTGATAGTCGTTACTGGTCACCATTGATAGTCGTTACTGGTCACCATTGATAGTCGTTACTGGTCACCATTGATAGTCGTTACTGGTCACCATTGATAGTCGTTACTGGTCACCATTGATAGTCGTTACTGGTCACCATTGATAGTCGTTAATGGTCACCATTGATAGTCGTTAATGGTCACCATTGATAGTCGTTACTGGTCACCATTGATAGTCGTTACTGGTCACCATTGATAGTCGTTACTGGTCACCATTGGTAGTCGTTACTGGTCACCATTGATAGTCGTTACTGGTCACCATTGATAGTCGTTACTGGTCACCATTGGTAGTCGTTACTGGTCACCATTGGTAGTCGTTACTGGTCACTATTGATAGTCGTTACTGATCACCATTGGTAGTCGTTACTGGTCACCATTGATAGCCGTTACTGATCACCATTGGTAGTCATTACTGATCAACATTGGTAATAAGTACATGTAACCAATAGTACGCAGTGTTGGTAACCATTTTTGCACTGGTAACTATTGGTAACCAGTCCTGGTCATCATGGGTATTCAATACTGATAACCAATGAGAGTACTGGTCATCATTGTTAATAATCACTATTAATCAATCGTCCGTACTGGTCACCATCGGGGGTCTATTCTGGTCACCATTGATAAATGATAGATATGGCAATTTTTTTCAAATCATGCGAACTTCTTTTCGCTGAGAAACAAGATTATCAATCTTTGAAAAACAGTTGTGTTATGTTGTGTTATGAATGGATCTTCTTATTCACAAACTCGGTTGAATTACTTGTTTTGAAGTATGACGTTGTATGCAATAAAAATGTTCGTTCTGCTATCAGAAGATTCGAATGAAAATGTTACACGATCATGGCTCCTTTCGTGCCAAACCTTGTAGCTGAACTTCCACACGTCATGGGAGTGGTTCAGTACATAGGTCAAGGGTTATCTGAATACTGCTGCTGCTGATTATATTCGTCAACAGATATGAATCCCATACAGCAGCAAGTCTTCACTTCCCTGGAGTTTACAAATACATCAGCATAAATCAGACATGCTTACGTGTACGTACATAACCTGAGAATATTTAATTATAGTTTCAAGCTGTAAACTCGGATACGCAGCGCATGACACTGAAATTATCGCTCCTTGTGACTTAGTTATATCGGTTATCTAAATCATCTAAAAAGAGGTGTGTCGATAGATGCAAGACATTTTCCAAACGGAATGTATATTATGTTTGTCTATAAGATATAAACAGCACGTCATTCGAATTTCAGACTTCTCAACTGTATGGACATATTTTTATCGTTGTTGAGTAAAGATATCAATGCATCACTATTGAAAATAATTTACACAGTGTACATTTAATTTACAACTGTCTTGATCACGTGCACAGTATATCATAGTATAAACAGTTTACGATTAAAGAGTATAGGCATGGAACTCTATTAACTCCTACGTGTCCATCAAATTACAGAGGTATTTACATAGAGGTTGGAACATAGTTTTACATTTGGAAACTGTAGACAGATATCCTATTATACAGAAGTTGCTTTCAAGGCGAGGTTAACTGTACATACATTTGAAGATTACTGTTTGCCATATTGGTATTTCATTAAGTCCGACTCGGACGCAGGCGTAACTAGGAACTACTTTCATTTTTTCGTCGTCCTTTCCAATCTCTTGATAAATATTAGTCCAGTGAGCTTGACTCGCAAAATCCGAAATGGGACAACTTCCCATCACACATGGAGATCTGTCTGTAAGGACAAAACGCATTATCCCATCCGTAACTTATACCATTGTATTACTATACAATCAACGTATCTATGTTTATTTTACGGTTGTCATAGTGATGTTATGGATGTTTTATTTCTTTGTGTGATACGAAGCTGTACGTGTTGAACGTGACATTTCTTGTTTGGATTTACAAAGTTTTGCATGGTAAATCTTTCTTTTGTTAATATTTTGCCCCAGTTTCATTGAATTTGTGATTACGATTGGATTATGTTCACATGTTTGGTCATTTCTGGTTTTTGTAACACTGACCTCGTGTAACACACGTGTGATCATAGAGTAATGAAAAACATTAATCTGAATTTAAATATTCATTGGTTACTTAATTATGCAAAACATCACGGTCAGGTCGCAACGTTTATGCTCGCGAAAATATCGGGATTTTTCATATATAGAATAGGTCATTTGTCCGTCATTTGTTTGCCTGAAATAATAGTCGAGGTCACAACTAAAAGAAAGTATATTAATGAAATTTCTTTAATGGACAGAATTCCGAGCTAGGCAAATAAAATTTAAATATTCATTGATTGCTTAATTATGCAAAACAGCACGGTCAGGTCGCAACGTTTATGCTCGCGAAAATATCGGGATTTTTCATATATAGAATAGGTCATTTGTCCGTCATTTGTTTGCCTGAAATAATAGTCGAGGTCACAACTAAAAGAAAGTATATTAATGAAATTTCTTTAATGGACAGAATTCCGAGCTATACAAATAGTCCAAAGCCAATTTCACATTGAGATTAAAGGTTAATTAAATCAAACGGTGAAAGTGACCCGTTACGTCAATAATTCTTCGTGGATATATATATATATATATATATTTCTGATAGCAAGGCAAGTTTCAACATTAAACTTTCTTCAGATTCGTAAGTCAAAGCTCATGAAGGACAAGGTGATACATTGCCTACCATTTTCAGGTATATGCACTAATGTCAAGGTCACAATAAGGTTAAAGGTCTATCCTCCTAAGTTCTCAGTTAGGCTTATAGCTCAAAAGGCAGTAAGTCACTTATTACTTTCAGATCTATGTTCTAGGTCTAGGTTACTGAAGTTCTAAAGCTGCCAAGGGTAAATACACTTATAAATCTATGAGGGAGAGAAAACTGTTTTCTTTGCCTGTCCACCATTCCAATTGTAATGAGTTTATCAGTCAGTTTTATATTGATTTGCATTGTCGTGTTACTTTACTTTTTCAAATTTTCATATGGGTACAACTACAGGTATTTTAACGTTGTTTATGGCAATTACACATATCAAATCCAATAGTAATCCCTTCAGTTATGGGTGATAAATAATAGTACATGTAACAGTACACCGTTTACATGCAGATTCAGAATAAATTAGTCTACATACATACACAGTTTCAGGTAAAACAGAATTCAGGATTCCATCTAACAAGCTTCACAGACTTTATAAGAGCCATTTGAAAATGCGAGTCAACACAGTGAGTAGTTTGAAGAGATGAAGACAAGCCCAAAGATTAAATAAGACTATCCTTTATTAAATAAATACAATGATTTACACTGATTTACAGACACATATGGTGAACATGTATTATCATTTAACAAGGAACTTCCATAATAGGAAAAAGAATATTACTTAAAACATGTCTTTTGTTTCCTTATAATTGAGAAGGTATATTTTTACTAATGTAAATTATGTTTAATCAGGACAAATCTTGTACCAGTAGTCATGTAAATGTTATTTAAAATACAACTAAAAAATGCAATACTTGCAGCTTGAGTGAAACACTATAGAAATACCAAGACTTGGCCCCATTACAGAATGTACACTCAGTCATGGAGCTTGGATTTGCCTTTTTATTTCTATCCACCTCTGAACCGTCAATTTTTGAAACCAAAACAACTGTGATTTGTATCTGTTAATAATTAATCCTGGTAACTATCGAACATAAAAGTCCTACTTTTTAAGGGCTGATCATATACTGCATAGTAACAATTTTTACCAAATTCAATATATTACTTCATTGCACCATATTTCAAGATAATAAACTAACAAATTTTATGTTCACACAAATGGGCATAAATAGAGAGAAATTCTGTAAATTCACAGGTTCTTGTTTCACTTTAGTTAAAGGATGGATTGCTGTACAAAAATACAATGAAAATGTGTAAAGCAACACCAGGGAAAATATAAAGTGAGCAGTTACTGTGATTAAAATGATGCTACAAAGCTAGACAACCTAAGCTAATTATTTTTAAAGAGGACATCCAGTCCTTAAATACATAATGATAGTTCACACATTTTTTGTCAGCATCACCCTGAGGAGGCTTAGAAAAAAGAATTGACTGAACAGTTGCTTTTTAAGAGAATTCTCTTCACGGAAATATACATTGGAAATGCAATTATCACACAGAACAGACACAGAACAGGCACAGAACAGGCATGAGTTTACATTAAAAAGGTTATATGGCAACTTTACACTAATTAATTTACAATGACGATATTTCATATTTTGTCATAATTTGCAATGAGAAAAGACTATAACTGCTCTGGTCCATTGAACAGCATGCTCCCAGTACATCCTAAATGGGGGATCAGTATCATCCTTGCAGTGGGAGATCCTTGTATCTCCTGGTCAAAGCAAGTTTCAACCAGTTAGTGTGTTTACCACCACCAGTCAGAATGTGAACTATCACCAGCAAAAGCAACTTGTAGTTCATTCATCCACAGAAAAGTTCCCTCTGCCACCATGCCAGAATATTGCACTGATTATCTGCAAAAAAATAATGATAATAAATAAATTGAAAGGAATCGTTCAGGATCCTTATTACTATATACATATATGTCGACATTATCTTTAATGTTCAACTGAAAAAGATAAATGAATCTTTTATTTTCGACCCATTCTACGAGTATTGACAAACTAGCCGTTCAAATATTTTCTGAACTGCTCTTTGTCTCATATACACACTTGATTGTTGATCCTCTCCTCACAGAAGCTTAAGTTTTTTTTTCAAACATTTAGTCTATATCTCCTTTACATAAAATATAAAGATTTACCCTTTTGCTTCTCAGTGACACTACCTTTAAATGTTTTAAATAATATTATATGTATGGCCCAAGAAAATATCTTTGGCTCAAGGTATAAAATTTTGCAAAAACATTCTTGTCAAGCACTCTTTTAATCTAAACAACAATGTTTATTTGAATAAATACCCCAAGTAAGAAATATTTTGCAAATCAAAATGTATTGAAAATTAAACTTGTTCAGTATTTTTTCCAGTTTCACAAGATATAATTAGTAACTTATACTAATAGTAATAGTTGAGGGGTTAAAGCCAGGTCTGTCAATATCATTTAATTATGCCCGTTTGGCTGGTTTCAATGATAAGCATGTAACTGTTAAAAACTGCTGATACCACCTCATTAAAAACCTCAACACACTTACCGAAAAAACATAAAACACTAGGAATCACAAAATTATTCCTTTACAAAAATCCAAGTGCATACTTGTATTTTGAAATAATATCAGACATCACAACAAAACACTGAGATTATCTTTAAGTTGTTGTTATTCTGGGCTTCAGAGATAATTTTTTTTGTATTTCATCGGATATTGAAATCATGTTCATAAGTAAAGGTATAATTTTGTGATTCCTTAGTACAGCTGCATCACGTCCGTTGAGGAGTTCCAGACTTGGTCTTCTTAATGTAATGGTAGTTTGGCAATATCTTGGTCAAAAAGTCAATTTGAAGATTCTGGGTCTGAAAATCAACACATATACATATATCAGTTTTGTTATATTTCTGTCAAGTTTAACACAACCTTTCAAAGATTTGTGATATGCTCCAGACAAAATTATGATGAACAGACAGATGGACATTGCTGTGAATATATGCTCTCCCTTTGGGGAGCATAAAAAGCAGCATAACCTTTAATGAAAGCAGAAATTATCTGGTAATTGATCTATGGTGATCTAATCAAAACTTTTATTTTCACTTCTTTAAAACTTGAAGATCTTGATTCTAGCCTTTAGTAAAACTGTAGTATGTTTTGTCATTACTGCTGTAAAGTATATAATATTTATCATTTGTTTATCTGGTAATTGTGACAGAAGCAATACATTAGTGACTGTAGACAACTTACTGGAGGTCTTTCTCGTTGGACCCTCCTCTCACACTCCTTGCCATAGATCACAGTATTATCTGGTAGCGTCTCATTGCTGGTCAGTGAACACATGGAACCTATTATACAGCCTGTTGTTAAACCGACTTGTCGCCCAACTTTTGCTGCAAAAAATCAAATGACATATAAATTATGTAAACAAACTTGGAGAATGACCTTCATTACTTTTATCAATTTCCACACTGAGGAAAAGGTAAAACCGCACTTCAACTTCTCATGGGTATAATTTACAGGAATACACTTTCTGGTACTTCTATTTTAAGAAGGGGGAGGTGGGGGGCAATAAGTGTAAAGGTATGAAAAAAAAAAAAACAAAAACAAAAAGACAGCTAATTTACCTTTAGCTTCCACAACATTGTGATCACCAATCTTTGTTGCTTCTACATCTACACTCATGTCAAGGTCAAATTGGCTAAAATGTAAAGTTTGAACTAAGAATTGCAACAGTGCTTTAGAGCTTTGAATATATATACCATGATTAACTAAAATGATACAACATACTTGAGGTACAATTAAACAAAACATATAAAAGGATACAGCAACCAACTTCAAAGACATTGTTGTTCCCAATGATCATCACTTGCTGTGTGTTGGCATCTGTTCCTGCTGGATTTCTGAAAAATGTCAATTTAGAGCATGTCAAACACAAACAAATACACACAAGAACCAACTTATACAATGCCAACATCAAAATGTCAACGATATAACTCCCGTCAAATTCAAAGAAATATTACAACACGCTAGACTCAAAAAATGTATAAATAAACAGACAAAAATGCAGAGAAATTGTTAATGTCCACCAGCATATATATGTTAAAACACACCTATTAACAATGGTAACTAGTTCCTCTATGATGTTATTTTCACCAATGATAATAGGTCCATCATCTGCAATGATGCGTGCCTTGGGATGAATGACAGATCGTGCACCTGAAAACAGAAAACAGTGATATGACATTCAACATTCATTTCACTTGGAATTTTGAAATTTTTCTCGGACACTAAGGCCTTAACTGAAAAAAATTTAGGATTTCATTACATGTCAAATTTTACTTTGTATTTAAATGTATAGTTATAATGCTTTTTATTAAAATTTTCATAATTCAGAATTGTTGATCTTAGTTATATTTACTGAATTCATCAATGGTCACTGTTATTCTCTAAAAAACATTTTAATTGTGATTATTCTTAATTCTATATCAGTTAGATATAATGTACAAGTTATAAGGGTGTTACACAACAAATGTTTAAAACTAACATTCAGGACTGTCTGACACCAAATACTATTTAAAAGTTGATTATTTTAGAATGAAATCATATTTATAAGCCAATTCTGTAAAGCTTACACACTTTTTTCATATTTTTGAGGGGTTTCTTATTTTTGAACACCTAAGTCTTACCAATTGTTACATCCCCAATTATTTCGCACTCATCACAGACAACAGCACCATGTGATACTAGTACCCTGCAATGGAACAAGAGGATTATGATTATAGTGGCAATTCAATGATACACCATGGTGCAGTAGCTTTGATATGTAATGCCTAATTTGTTGATAATAAAATCCTCTGAAAACGGGAATGCGAAGATTCTTCAGTGTTCTGGCTGGAAAGTTTCAAAGTATGTTTCATAAAGTAGTAAGACAGTCACCTATAGTACTTACTTCGGTTTGGCAGACATTTCTTTCGATTTCTGGTGTTGGCGTCGCTTAAAACATTCACAAACACTTTTGTGAAACCTATTACAAGAAAGAGAAGTTTACTATTATTAAAACATATGGCAAATACCAATCAATTTCCTGTTTAAATTGTTATTCACTACAAATGAATCAACAGAGAGGTTTCGAAAGATGTAGTATTTGATTGTTAACGATGTGAACGGCCTTGTATTTTTTTTCTAATTTTAGATTCGAAACAGACCCACGTGATACGGAACATAAATAAATAAATATGTGACAGATTACCTTTCCCAAGTGAGAATTGATTGCTGTCAGAAATCAAGGTTGAAAAAGGGAGAAGGGGCTGGGAGTGGGGGCTTGAATGGAAAGGAAGGACGCAATGAGCGGCCCCCTCCCCACTCCCACCCACTTTTACTTCAAGTTACTAAGTGCTCTTTAGCTCTCATTGTTACTAGTACGTAAGAATGGACTTGAAGGATGGATTATCGTATCATATCATTCATATGCAACACAGTCCCCTTTAATTATTTAATTTAATTATCGTAAAATTAAAACAGAGAACGCAAGTTACCTTTCCAATCACTCTCAAAACCAAACATGGATAAGAAACATCATCGAAAACGGATGTTAGATATAAAAGTTGGTTAGATTATTTCCAAATCCAAGATACGTGTATTATTTTGTGTACTTTTTATTTTACCCAAAAGCTGAACATCAAACTCTAGGTACCAAGGAAATCCGACACATACACTTATGAAATTTACGAAAGGGATCCCACTATTCCTTTCCAACTTAGAAATAGCGGCAAAATGCCTTTTCAGTCCGAATACCCTCCCCATATTTTTTCTATCTTATTGATAGCGCAGTCCTTTAATTGATGAGAATCATCTCTAGAGCTCTTCACAAAATAGCAATAAGAAATCTTAAGGATGTCATAGACAGGCGACGGGCCGCTAATGCGCTGCTGCAAACATATAATTTCATAATACAATTTATCAACAACATCATCCTGACTTCTTTTCCAGCTTTTAGTTCGACCAAATTAGAAACACAAAACAAAAACAGAATCTATATTTTTAAAAAAAAAGGACAAAAGGACGGAAGACGTGAAAGGAAAAAATGGATTTTCAGTTTATAAAATGTGCGCGGGCTCTCTCCCTCTTGAACCTGAAATCCCTGAAATGTTTGTTAAATATTCCAGATATGTCAGGTGCTCACGAATGTTACGTGAAAAGGTTTGCCAATACAACATATTATGATGTTATAATGATAATGACGTCATAGAGTTAAATCACAGCACAACCACACAGTTTAAATTGATGATATATTAACACCTTGGTCATACGCCATAGACTTGAAGTTTAGATCAAAAATCTCTTATGGTGACTTGAACCCATATCTTTACAACATGGTGAAGGAAAACGTATTTAACATTTACAAGTAATATGTATTAAATAAATTTCTAAAAAAAATCAAGGTTTCTTGGTATTACAATGTACGTTTATCCTGAATAGAGTTACTTTTAATTTATTTTTATTAAATAAATATATAGTGTCTCTAATGAAGATCGAACCCTTACTGTGTGTGGAAAGGGAGACTACTCTACTACACCGGAAGTCACTATGATTGAAAACATGATGAACACGTCAAAGGCACACTAGTCTGAGTAATGTAATTTGTTATAGTTCATTCAGTCTGGACTACTTGTAAGGATATTCAGAATTATCAAAATGCAGCCGAACGTCCAGCAGCCACCACCACCACAAAATGATCAAGCCACTTGGTGGTTCAGAATTCTTGTTAAATCAATAGGCACCGTTGGCGGTCTGAGTAAGTATTGATACAATAACATTACACGAACTTTGATTGAAAACTATATATAAGTCCTAATTGAGAGTTACAAAACCGGTCTTGACTAATAATTTGCCAGTATGACCACGGACTGAGAGATATATATCTACGACATTACGCATGCAATTAGCATATCCGTCGTTGCTTTGCTAATGAGTATTGTTTAATACATATACTACTAAGAGGTCATCACGTCTGGTCATCTTGCCCTTGTAATTAAAGTGATTATGGTCATTAAAATTTACTTCTCGGTTTCTTATTCAAACAAAAGGGTACTTGAACATGTTAACACGGTCTTGTGTTGTTAATGAAAATGAAGTGATATACTGATATCTATGGATATTAGCAATTATAGACTAGTAAACCTCGAAAGTACTGTATACCTGTACTTTCCACAGAGAAGGCTCAAAGCAAACCATCACCCATGAGAGGGACAAATTTTTAATTCTTATATTCTGCATATACTAACATTTCTACAGACTTATCTCTCACTTTCTAGTAATTCTCCCTCATGTTATATGAATAATTATTTGATCTGAATGTGTGCCACATAATTTTCATAAAATTTACTTCAATTAGTATTATTTTTCTTTTCTTTAAACTACATCTTTATGGACTGAAATTAAATTGTTCTAATTGCAGTTGCTATGATAACTGGAATAGTTACCTGTATATCATTATCTGCAACCTGCATTGTAGCTGGCGTTTTACAGATGTAAGTATTTCTGCTCTACGACAAAGACATGAAGTTAATATCATTCCGTGATATAGGATTTAAGGATACACAATTTGCTTGAAATAACTGAAAATTGTTATAAAAAAATTATCAATGGTTTTTTAAATTGATAAATTTAATGTGCTAATTTGTACATTCATTTTAACAAAATAATTTCATTGTTGTTCTTATCTTCATAATATATAACAATAGATCACAAACCCAGTAAATCATTTTCTAATTTTAAAGGGTTTCTGTCCTAGGACAAAAACAAATACATGACACATTAAGCACTTTGAAATGTAAATTGGCTGATTTTGAAATTCTTTAATCAGAAGCCCATTATTGTTATTTGTTCCATTGTATATTTTCTGGCTGTATTAATGGCATATGCTTTCATTTTTACACAGGCTGGTCGGGTTCATAGTAGTGTTATTTGAAGCACCATGCTGTTGTCAATTTATAGAATTTGCAGATAAAGTTGGAAAATTTTCTGATGCCAGAGCACCATGGCAAAAGGCAGCCATTTATTGTGGGTAAATATGCACACTTTCTTCTGTTGTTTGACTATTTCCAGACACCTGGTGATTATTCATTTCATATTTACATGCTAAAGCAATCCTTATATCTGTGTAGTAATGTGTTTATATGGACAATGAATTCCCTCAGATGATGTAAGGATTAGTAGAACATACACTGTCTGAAGGGTCAGTCAGACTTGTCTTTTACTTAATACACCAAACCTTGCTAATGAGTTGTATTTTTCAATCTTGATATACATTAGTAGATGAAAGGTTAATTGGTTTAAGTTGAAGGAAGTGCAGTGTTTATTACCTTGAAACATGATTTTTCAATTTCTTTAATGATTTGATTTTTCATCACTATGTACATCAATTATTTCTCAGCAATCCACATATTAAAATGAACATGACAGATATACTATTATAAATGTAACAAGATCTTTATTGAATATAGATACCTGGTACCTATTATATGTATGAAAGGGATATGATCTACTTGAAAAGTATACCAAATATTTTGCACAAAAACTGACTTTTTACTGATATTTGTGTTACAGATTGTCACTGACTCCAGTTTTGATGTGTTTTGGGATGTCCACAGTGTTTGGTAGTGCCCTTGTGTTTGTTTGTGGTGTTCTGTATGGCATGATGTTCCTGGGCAGAAAGTAAGTAATGGATTAAATTACATGAAATTATACAAGACTACTTAGTGACTTTATGATACTGTTTTCTATCCTTTAGTGATAGTAGACAGAATTGATTCACAGAATTCAAAGTTAATTGTTCTAGTTATCCAGTTGAGGAAACCTCCATCTTCGAACTCTATTCAACACAAAAATCTATTATGGAGCAGAACGGTTTAGATCAAATAGCAGTAATGCTGTGTGTATATGGTAATGAAGGAGCATACTTCCAGACTGATTGAGGACAGTCTTACTTTATCTTCATTAGAATACTGTCCTATCCTCAAAAGTTTTGTTATTTCATATATAATGGCTATTTGTAAACCATCATATTGTTCAATACATATGTTCTTGACAACATGTTGACCCTAACTATTTTCACAGAGCTGATCGGGATACAATGAAGGCCAAGGCTCGTGGTGATGATGTGGAGATGCAAGCTACATTGATGGATAATGAGGAAAAAGTAGATCTACATGTACCTGGTACTCAGCCAAAGTGATAAAGTTCTCTTACTACTCTGTAAATGAAAGGTCAGTCATGATTCTCTCACTGCTTATAAAAAACAACTAGAAAATACTGACTTGAAAGCGGAAAATTATTTCAGACTCAGAATTGATGAAAAGAAGGCAGTATGAGAAAAAACGAAAGATTTTTACATGGATTCATGAAAAAGCATCTTCTGCTTCATTGATGACACCCTCCTTGTAAATCTTGGCAAATTTTAGTAGGTAATGTCACATTCTCAAATGAAACAATTAAACTATCATGCATACTAACGAGCAGCAATCACATCTAAGTTTATGTTGTACGTGGAATTAGAATGTTCCCCCAAGGAGATCATGGTGGCACCAAAAGACTTTCCAATAGTTTTCATCAACTCACATCCCTCAAAATCCTCTATTGTGAGTTTATCTGTCAGCTATTGACATCTTGCATGAAAATTATTTTGATTTATTTAATTATTTTTTGTAGATCTGACATACCCTTGTTAGCAGTGAATGATGTCCTGCAACAGGGAGCAGTTTTATTCCCCAAGGTTTTAATGCAGGTGAATTAATGTATCATCATATGTAGATTTTACACAAAAGAAAACTCTGCTGTGGAAATTTATAGGATGGTATGTGAAAATTCCTTGTGGATGGTTTTTTATGAAAAGTTTTTGGTCTTAGATTTGTTTGTTTATTGCCCAATCAACATATTAGATTTGTATAAGAAGACAAGTAGACAATTTGTATAAGGTGTATGTGATAAAATGGTGCACATTTCGTTTGTAGATAATAAAGTAAACAAAAATTTATGTCATATATAATAGCTAGTCAAAAATTACCAGGGTAGGTGCTATCTGTCAACAACTTGTTGTTGAAATCTAAGAAAAATACATATAAAATGTAGTGTTTGCCTGCATGTCTTGCAAGTGACCACTTTCTTAACTCAAACTTAAGGGTGTAAAGACCTTTAACAAAATAAATGAACTTGCATATAAATTGTTTAGGTTACTGAACACATATGTCTAGTAACAATATAAGTACACTGTATATGGGACGACTTTTATAAAGAAAAAGTAAAAGAATTCCAGTCTGGGCAATATTGACAGATAACTTGTAATTCACTTAGTGCCATTTTTGTTTGCAACTTGTTCATTTGTAAAATACAATCCAAGTACCTATGTCATTGACAAGTTTGGATCGAAGGTTTGCAAATTAATCACAGAATTCTTTATTATTTAAGGTTGTATCTTGTTCTACTTTAATAAATCAATAATACCATTTCTAGTACCGGTATGGTAACTTTATCTGAAGATTATGTAATGCTTATCATTTCTAAGGGAGATAATTCAAAAGAAAACTAAATGGTAGATAATACATCTTTAATATTTTTTTTTAATATTGATTTATCAACATTGATTTTCTATTGATGTATTTCATAGTTAAGTGTTGTATACGTACATCATGTCAGCATGAGTTGTTTATGTCATGGTGCCTCTGGCTGATTGTCCGTCATTTTGTTTGTTAAACACAAATTATAAACTTAAATTTGTATGTAAATTAGATAAAAAAAATGTTTAATTCTTTGCCTAATCTTAACAATGTGTAAACAGGTAGATTTATTGTCAGGTATGGAAACCAAATTTTATTGTCAAATGACACTGTATACAAGTCCATGTTCAGTGTATTTTATTTTACTAAGGATGATCCATCTTGTGTTCACTTCAGAAAGGATGGAGTCTGGTACAAGGAAATGGAATTTGGTTCTAATGAATCTTGATATGGCAGGTTGGTTTCAGTAGGTTATTTTTGGTCACAATGGAGTGTGGTTTAGATAGATTTGGTTTTTTTTTTTTGGAAGGCGATATACACTTGTATATTTACCGGTAGTTGTAAGGTGATATGTAAAGTGGTTGGATTTTGTGTTGACTGAAAAAGCAAAACATAAACATGAAGGCCTCTGTGGAGTAACTCTTTGAAAAAGCTTTGGCTTTCAAATATTGTACAGAAGAAACAAGTGAATAGCATTTTTTAATAAAAAGTCAGAATCAGATATAGTATACAGAAATAATGAGAGAAACTGCATATTTTTAACTTCTGTAACTTAAGTGTTTTATATAAAAGGGATCAAAGAGAACAGATATCCTAGTTTTTGAACAGACCTCTAGGACAAGTAATGAGTGAGATAAAATAATTCCTGGAGGAAACTGTTAGTTTTCCTGTACTAGAAATACTTACTGTATATAGCTAGCACAAGTTAGATTTTTAGGCAGATTTAAAAACAATCAATATGGCAATTATGAGCCACTTAAATTTCTTTATGTGTGAACGGTGTGGACCCAGCTCCTGGTATAAAATCAATGTCGGGCATTACCTTTAAAAACCTTGTTGAACTTATTTCTAATTGTGGAGAGGTCTGAGATTACAGGTAATCATCCTTATTACACTATATTTTTCCACAGGATTTATATTTGTGTTCATTATAGATTTTAGAATTTTAAATATCTTTTTTATGATCTGTTCATCATTGAAACTTATTTATCTTGTTTCCTTGATAAACGATATATTACAAACTTTACATACTAGGTACTACATTTTAATTTGGTCATTTGAAAACTGAAAATGGAAATACTTATTTGAAAAATGATATTTTTATATTTATTGATTTAGAAAAAATCATTAACTCAAATCCTTCAACAGTACAGTATCATGATAAGATAAGGAATTTGTTTATACATATATTGTTTATTTATCAACTTTTTTTGTTATCTGTGATATGAAAATGGACCAGTTTTTCACTATTCATGTATATAATCTACCATCTTCAGAGTTAAAACTATGTCTAACTTAAATCTGTTGTACTGGAATTGACACTTTTTATGCCAAATTAATTTCAGTGTATTGGGTATGATTCTTTCAATTCTAGACTAGATATACATTTATTAGATTATTTCAGGTAAATATTTAATTCTTACTTCATTAGATTAAAACATCGTTGTATTCTACTTACTGTGATGATTTCTGCTTTTATTTTATGAAATGGAATCCAATTGTCAAAGTCTAACATTTAATAATTTGATTGTTAATCATGTTTAAAAAGTATCATTACTCATTAACACGAACTGTTAACATGGCTACACAGTGTTACTGCATGTCCCGAGGATATTGAGGAGAGAAAGTCTATGTATTTATGGATATCATGTATTACAACTTGAATTTGTAACCATGGAATCAGTATGGTTTATCAGTGGCAACTCAAATACATGTACATTTAAATGTGTTTGTCCCTAACCAACTACATAAGTTCTGATATGCCAGCTAACTATTATATGATAATCATATTCCTTCAAAAGAATTCTGAAAAAAATCCATAAATTATTTCTATTTTTTCTGTAAATATTTATTTGATATTATGAATGGTGAATGTAAGTATAGTATGTACACTTACATTAGATTTATTATTGAGAACCATCCATACAAATAATATGTGTAGGATATTACATATGAAATATTTATCTTGCCAATACATAAGAAACATGAGGGGGTCTGATACTGATACAGGATATTGAATGACTGCTTACTAACCTTGCTACTGAATTGGTGTTGCTATTGAAATACAATAGATGTAAGTTAGATTTTAAATAGTGCATTATTACTGCTTGAAAATACAAGATGTCTTAAGGTATTCAAACTTTGAAATATCAATATATCTTCAGTATCAATTGTACTGTTATACAGTATTTAGGTCTTTATGGGGTACGTAATATAGTTTTTAGTCTTTGACCTATATCTATAATAGACTACCGGGCGGTTTGAATCCTTAATCTACATATGTTCTAGATTATGGGTAGTTTTAAGTCTTTAACCTTCTCTTGATTAAGAGATAGTATTGATTTCTGTAATAGATTATGATATGGTTTAATTTATAGTAAGAACAGGAAATTTAAGATCCCCGTCATTGATTCACATAAATGTATTGTAATGACCTAGATTCTTATGTATTTATTTCACAAATCTTTCTGTTTTCAACAGCATGTTCTGTTGTTGACCTGTGGTTGTATTGTATAGTCAGTGTATGGTAGAGGTGCTGTATGTAGCCTTACAGTGTTGACCTGTGGTTGTATAGTCAGTGTATGGTAAAGAGGCTGTATGTAGCCTTACAGTGTTGACCTGTGGTTGTATTGTATAGTCAGTGTATGGTAGAGGTGCTGTATGTAGCCATACGGTGTTGACCTGTGGTTGTATTGTATAGTCAGTGTATGGTAGAGAGGCTGTATGTAGCCTTACAGTGTTGACCTGTGGTTGTATAGTCAGTGTATGGTAGAGGTGCTGTATGTAGCTATGCGGTGTTGACCTGTGGTTGTATTGTATAGTCAGTGTATGGTAGAGAGTCTGTATGTAGCCTTACAGTGTTGACCTGTGGTTATATAGTCAGTGTATGGTAGAGGTGCTGTATATAGCCTTACAGTGTTGACCTTTGGTTGTATAGTCAGTGTATGGTAGAGAGGCTGTATGTAGCCTTACAGTGTTGACCTGTGGTTGTATAGTCAGTGTATGGTAGAGGTGCTGTGTGTAGCCTTACAATGTTGACCTGTGGTTGTATAGTCAGTGTATGGTAGGTGCTGTGTGTAGCCTTACAGTGTTGACCTGTGGTTGTATAGTCAGTGTATGGTAGAGGTGCTGTGTGTAGCCTTACAGTGTTGACCTGTGGTTGTATAGTCAGTGTATGGTAGAGGTGCTGTATGTAGCCATACAGTGTTGACCTGTGGTGGTATAGTCAGTGTATGGTAGAGGTGCTGTGTGTAGCCTTACAGTGTTGACCTGTGGTTTTATAGTCAGTGTATGGTAGAGGTGCTGTATGTAGCCTTACAGTGTTGACCTGTGGTTGTATAGTCAGTGTATGGTAGAGAGGCTGTATGTAGCCTTACAGTGTTGACCTGTGGTTGTATTGTATAGTCAGTTTATGGTAGAGGTGCTGTGTGTAGCCTTTCAGTGTTGACCTGTGGTTGTATAGTCAGTGTATGGTAGAGAGACTGTATGTAGCCTTACAGTGTTGACCTGTGGTTGTATTGTATAGTCAGTGTATGGTAAAGAGGCTGTATGTAGCCTTAGTGTTGACCTGTGGTTGTATAGTCAGTGTATGGTAGAGGTGCTGTATGTAGCCTTACAGTGTTGACCTGTGGTTGTATAGTCAGTGTATGGTAGAGAGTCTGTATGTAGCCTTACAGTGTTGACCTGTGGTTGTATAGTCAGTGTATGGTAGAGGTGCTGTATGTAGCCTTACAGTGTTGACCTGTGGTTGTATTGTATAGTCTGTGTATGGTAGAGAAACCCAATGTTACCCAGTATTGTGTAATAATAGAGGGTAGACTGTTGGCATATTTCATTGTAAATATTTCACGACACAAAATTCATTAAGAATATATGCAGTTCCAACTGTCAAATTATTACATATCTGTAGTTTGCAGAAACAGTAAATTGTTGTTGTGTTCTAGAAAAATGGTTATGTTGTATATACTGAGGAAGAACAGTAAAACAATGTAATAATCTGAATGCCTATATCAAATAGTTGATGCAAGTTCTGACACAGACCAGGCCTTGGTTACAGTAGACTTCAATAGATGCCTTTCAACAATTAACTACCAAGACACCATCCGGAGACATTAGAATTACATTTGTGGTACAGCTTAGAAATTTACTGATGTTTTAACTAACCAATTCTCCACTGTACTCATGATCCTTAACAGTCAATCTATAGCCCATAATTACGTGATTTCCATTTTAATCATATTTTCCCATTACGCATTTGGGCACATTAAAACTGAATAAAGATTTTATAAGATGTGTTTGAGGCAGGAGTTTAAAAAAGTGGAATATATATGTAGAAATGCTCAGGTTTATGGTTACAGTATTTTGAAGTGGTTGAATATCAGTGATATTTCTGTACTTACAGCTTATATTTGGTATTTTAAATACATGTATAGTATGTAGAAATCAGCACTTGCTTGTTACTGTGTATATTACTGGTTATGAAGACAATTTGTAACTGATTGAAATATTAGTAAGATGTTGTTATTGTTATTTATGGTGTAAAAGATAAGTTTTGGTGAAATATTGATATTGTCATTACTGTAGATGATTTAAAATGTTAGCCATACTTTTTTTGTGTCATAATTAACACTTCATTGTTGAGAGTAAATAATTCTTTGTTATATCTGTATCTGTGAAAAAGTGCAATAAAGGGAGATAACTGGCATTAGACTTGTTGATTTTGTTTTAATTAGATAAGCTGTTAAATAAGTATTGAAATTCTATTTCAACATGGTTAATGTATGAATCTTTGAAAAATATGAC